TGGATACTCGATTATTTCATGAATTGAAAGATGAAGAAGAAATTATCAATTTATTTGCTTATCTTTTTACAAATAGACCATGGTAAATTATATCTTTTATTGATTGTAATTGTTGTTTAATTTCTTATTATTTTTTAGGTTAATGGTAAATCAATATGCGAACGGTTCTTCACCATCAAAACAAAATCCAATGTTTAACACGAAACTTTCTCTTCGACCTATTTCGCCTGCAATTCGTCAACGTATTCATTTATATAATACTTTAGTCAAAGAAATCTATGGATCTTATATAGAAAATGTTATTAAACAGATGCGATCATTGAATGACAGTCAAGAATATATCTTACCTCTATCAAATATTTCATTTGAACAACCATCGGATTATGATAATGGAACACTTGAATATAATATTCATCATCATCATTCTCAACAAACACAAAATCCATCGATATCTCCTTTTGTTGGTCCATCTGGTCTTACTCATGATCAATTTATGTCAAACTATAATCCAACTGTTGGTTCATGGAATCTTGCATGTGATCTAGATTTATCATCACGTATTGTTCCATATGTTGATATTGATGCTCATGATCATACAAATTCAAGTTATTATTTAAATAGTTATGCATTAGATTTCTTTCGACATGGTTCGGAAAAATTATTAATATCTGAAAATGAAATCGATCGAAGTGAAACATATAGTTTATTATCTAGTTTTTCATCAACACTTAAATCAATAAAAACATCACTTGTTAATGTTATAGAAAATGAAATCAAAAATCCAACACAAGATATGGCTTTTTTTAAACCATTAAATAAAAAAATCGATGATATTGAACAAATGTATTCAAGTAAATTTACCAAGCAATACAAGTAAAACAAATAATCTTCAAAAGTTCCTTTTGTTTTTTTTTCATTTATAAAACAAAAAAATCTTATTTTTAAACTATTTGTTATTTTTATTTGTTTTATTATAAGAATATAACTCAAATAAACGTAAAAAGAAATCAATGAAATGAATATATCTCGATTAGCAAGACTAACAAATCTTTTTTTCTTAGAAATCATAAGCTTACTATTGAAAAATAGATCACAATATGTATTTATTGTGTTAGTTCAAGTTGCATATGATTTGAATTCTTTTCATTTATCAAAGTATATATTATTCACACGTTATCCAGCAATTAACACTCTTCACAATACAGTTCAAAAGAAATTTTTTTTACAAATTGACTTGAGTATATAATAAAAAAAGTACACATATATATTTAATCGTGATTGAAAACAGTGACATATAAGTTTAATTGTCACAAATAACTTTGCGTTTTTCTCATACATTATAGTAACAAATCTTGTATGAATTCTCCGCTTTTGTAAAGTGTGTATCTTTATAACTGTAATATCTTATTCATTGAATGAATAGAAAAGAGAGTAAATAATGATTGTTCTCAAGTTTTATGTTTGTATGTAATCAAATTGAAATATTTTATGGATGTTGAGGTCATTGAAAAAGCTTTTCATATAAACAAATCAACGAATAGAACATATTCTATTCACATAAAGAATAAACTTTCGTATTCTAATATATTATTATTACCGATCAGTCGTCGTCGTCATATAATTTATTCCTTGCATGATTCTATCTTGAAAAATTACATAACTAAGACTATTTTCTCTAAAGATATATTCAGAGAGAGTATACTACCATTCTATTCAAATGTCATGCTCAATAATAGAATGAAAAATGGGGCGTGTCTAGTTTTTAAATCTAAATTGAACCTTTAACAGCTGTTTCGTTATGCTTGCCTATCATTAATATAACAGACATTTCAACTAAAAAAGAATTCATCTAAACACACGCGCGCGTGCTCATATACACATACAATCACATTAATGATAATGAGTGGTATATCACTCCATACACTCGACTGAGTTCACATCAAGATTATTGGCAGACACAGATTGTCATCAATTACTAGATAGACAGACACAGAATTTTGTTCTAATCATTGGTCATTGATGACAGCATAGTATAATCGAAAAAAAATGAATTTAGAACTATTGATATTGATTCATGTGGTCATCACTTCAATAAAAAAAAATTTATCTTCATTAGGAAATGGAACGTGTGTATGTATATACGAAGAGTTCATTAGGAGAAAAAAAATTTCATTTACTCTTTTAACGTAATCAAGTTTGCATGACATGCATCAATCGCTTTTTGTGCCGACAGACGCTTTCGTCATTTCTTCCTTTTTTCTTTTTTTCTGACCGTTAGAACTTGAGTTAATATGAGCAGATGTTATACTGATGAGAATATGTAATATGAAGCGGAAAAGTATCAGAATGTGACACCCATTTGAACGAGTAGTTATGATTTTGTTAGTCGAAATAGACAGGATATAAGCACGCACATATATTTGTATTGCCTGACTATCAACTATGTTAATAACAAAAAAACAAAAAGGAATTTTTCGTCTATATTCATGTGATGGATGGATGATCATAATGTATATATAGAAGGGCGTTGACATATTTTTTTTAGCAAACTAAATGGTAAATATATGCACGCGTCCACTGAATAAATTTGTTCTATCCATCAGTATACGCCTTTAGCCCGTTGGCAATATCGAATTATGATTGATGATATTGAAGAGAATATAAACAATGATTTGAAGTAGTTTTTCGAAATTTCTAAACTAATAAAAACTTCTAACAACTAACAAAAAAGTAATCATTCTTGAAACAGATGTTTTGATTGAGTATTTCTGCAGCTGTGTTCTATTCGTTAAAGTAATGATTATTAAAATGGTCGGCAATTCCATATGTTACACATACAAATCGAATAATTATCATTGATTTGTTGAAAACTTCTTCTTCTTCTTGTTGTTGATATGATGAACAAATCGAATAGTTGATTGATTTTCCTTTTCAAGTGTTATATCAATTGAAAGTCTTTTTTCTTTGAAAAAAATCAGTCAAGTGTATGATAACAATGTTTGATCTTTGACAGCCGCTTTCGTTTTCCTATTGATAAAAAAATAAAATAAACTCGAAAGATTTTACGAATTCATCTTTTTTTTTATTTTTCTTAAGTATTGTTTAAATAGTGTGTGACTAGCCTCGAAGCATTGAGTAATTAAAGTATTGTTTCGAAATAAAATAAAAAAAACAGAAGAGTTTTATTTTTAGATGCATTATAGAAAAGATCAAACTTTAAAATGAAGTAGTTTAGCTTGAGGCAAATGACGTCTCATCGATCACTACTCTTGTTTTATGTCCATTAACCATTATGCTATTTTCCACTCTTCAACACCTTAAAAAAACGAACAGCCCTATATACACACATGCATTTACATTAACCGTTATCTTGATCAGTGATGTCATTTATTCAAGTGTGTCAAACTCGAATCCTTATCATTCTCTTCACCTATCAAAACACTAAATCATTTTTGTTTTGTGAGATATGATGTGAGTGCTCCTCAGGGGGTAGAGTTTTTTTCACACATAACATTTGTATATTTGATATGACACAATCAAATCAGTATTCTTAATAAACAAAAACATAATGATTCAAGTCATCATCATCATCATCATCATCAACATCATAAATGAAACCCTAGGAATCTATTCTTTAGTTTCTATAAACAAATATTGAGACAAGTATGGGTACATTAAAAATGTACAATAGAAGTAAACATATGAAACCATCTCGATTTTCAAACTAATATTTGTTTTACTCAAGAATAAAAATAACAATGAATCTATATTATTATTTTGATTAGAATAAAAACGAACAACATTTTCTCATTACTGGACAAAATCCGTTCGTTTCTTTTGAAATCATTTTCAGACATAAGAACATCTGGAGAAGTACATGTATATACACATACACATACACACACACACATACATATATATGTATATCAGTATGATAAGACAGAATGACGTGTTGTTAACAAAACGTACGTTGACCAGCCGATCAATTTCGTTCATATGACTCTTAAGTGATAGTAAACTTAATCTCTCTTTCAATCTATAGATTTTTTTTTTCATCTTAACAAGTACGAACAAAAAAAAAATCTCAGTAATGAAACAGCTGTAGGGTAGGAAGAGAAAAGGAAAAAAAAGGATCGAATTGACTTTGACCGTTTGTTGAACTCATGTAAATATGCATATATACGGTACCGTACATAGACTAGATCAAACAACATACAGACAACACAAGGGAAATGATTGAAAATCATATGATCAATAAAATAGTAACAAATTCCAGATAGAATATTTCATTTTTGTTTATTTTATATTCAATTTATTCAAAAAAAAACAAATTTTTTAATTTTCTATCTCTGCACGTTTATTCAAGAGCAAAAAAAAGAAAAAAATATAAAAAAAAAACTACATGCACGTATACATAGATTTATTTTATACCTGAGACAAGGTTCTTTATATTATATATTTTTTTCTCTCTACGTACACACACACAAAAAAAAATAATAATAGCAACTAATGTGTAACGACTTTTATAAAAAAAATCAACACACACACACACACACAAAACAGGTATTTTATACTAATCACACTCCCAAAACTACGTATGCCTAAACTTCACAAGAAGAAGAGAAAAAAAATAAGTTAGGCTCAAAGCTCGCAATACACAAATATATAGATAGATAGTTAACTACAGCTAAAAAAAAGAGACAATAAACAAATAAACAAAACAAAACAAAAAAAGAATCACTCCTCATGTTTGAGCAGTTTGACTTTTTCGTTAATAGGGAAAACAGATTTAGACTAGTGGGTCACACACATGCTCATTCACAATGAGAACAAACAGCTTAATTTTTTTTTTTCTTCCGGGTTAATACATCAATCCCTGATCAAGATAACTGTACACAAAATAGAAACAGTAACGTAAAAAAATACACAGAAATAAATTAAAGATAATAACCTGAGAGAATATATAGATATATATATATTAGATATTTTCTTTTTCTATATTAAGCAAAACCCATGGATGTTTTCATTGATATAAAATTAAAATTTGGCCAAATTGAATCTAAATTTTCATCCGAAATTTGTTCAAATGATGAATTTAATTCTAATTGATCATTTAACGAGGAAAAAAATGATGATTGTGATACAGTACGATATGTTGATTTGATTTTATCATCTTGAGGAAATGGTAAAGATAAATGATGAGATAATTTTGTTGTCGATGATGATGATGATGAAGTATTATTTAATTTAATCCATTTTGAACATTGTTGATTTGTATCAATCATATCTGTGATTGATAATAAATCTTTTTCATAATCATTTTCATCGATATCTGATGCTTGACCTGTACGAGCTGCAATATGACTTTCAATTTCAATACGTGCTGCTTCAACATTTTCTGGTGCACCAGCTATTTCAAAAACAGGTTCTTTATCACGACCTGGTGTAACAATATATGTATTTGTTGTTTGTTGTATACGTTTTATGGTTGCACCTTTTGGACCAACAACTAAACCAACAACACGATATGGTACACGAACTTGTATGGTTATTTGTTGAACATTGGTTGATGGATATATTAAACTATTATAATGTAAATTTGTATTACTTCCACTACTAGTACTACTATTCGATGAAATACTCGTACTATTTTGTTTACGAGCTAAAAGAAATGACTTTAAATAGAGACAAAAAAAAAGAATTTTTAATTTATTTTACCGGCACGAATTTGTGAAAAATGTTCAGCAGCTGATACGATTTCTTTTTTAGCTAGATAAACATCTTCTTTTCGACCAGTTATGATAAAAACAGGTTGATCACCTCGAACAGGAGTTTTTATATATGTATTTGTCTTTGTACGAAGTGCTTTGATTTTACAACCTAGATAAGAAAAGCAAAAAAAAAAGATATGAATGATTTATTTCGAAAAATATTCGATTCGTTTTTTTCTTACCTTGTCGACCAACAATTTCAGCAACATGTTCCGAACTTGGCACCGGTACACATTCAGTCATATTTTGACTTTTTTTACCAATTGAATCATATGTTGATGATGATAATAATGATGGTGGTGGTGATGATAATTTTTGTTGTTGATCAAAACAATATGATAAATCATTTATATCATATTGTTGTTGGCAAGCAGCAAGAAGAAGTGAAGATGATAATGAAGAATTGGATGATGAACGTTGAAAATCACTTATGATCGATGCACTTGGCATTATTAAAAAAATTTAAGTTTTTTTTTAAAAAGAAAAGAATTAACCTAAAAATAAAAGTACATTGTAGTAAGAAACAAATTAAAAAGGTAACAATATCGAATGTAGAACATTATTATCGTACGCATAGACTTACCGCTGTGTGTCCAGTCGACGACGAAATGTGAATGTGATGATTAACGCTTATACATGCTCGATCCTTTCTCCTATATATTGCTAGACAGAGAGAGAGAGAGACAGAGAGAGAAGGAGAAAGAAGAAAAAAAAGAAGAGGGAGAGAGTATAGCACGAAAGAACGGTAAAGAACGAATGGAAAATGTGTACAATCTCTCTCTCTTCCACCTGAGTGTTGGTTGGATGGGTACTTCTTAGCGTTTTTTTTTTTTCTCAAAACTTTTTTTTTGTATGTCTGATGAACTTTGAACTACTAACCAATCTGAGTAGTAGTACTATATAAGACAAAAAGAAGAAGAAGAAAAGAAATGCCCTTAGAATACCCTCGAATTGATGCCTTCTTTTTTTCTTCTCTCTTTCTGTGTCTAACGATAAAGAGTAATATAATAATAATAATAATAAAAAAAAAAAGAAATATGTATATACAAATGACTAGACAAAATAATCGTTTAAATAAGGATGCTTGTTGCTTACGGTTTTCATCAAATATTAGAAATTCGATTGAGGAAAAAAAGAACACGAAGAATGAGAAGAACGTGATGCTATGTAATGTATAGAATCAGTTAATTAGATAAACGAAGTGCGCGATTATGTGTTTATCTATAGAATCAAATGAATATGCATTCCAAACAACTAATCGTCTAATAAAGATAAATTTTCAAAACATTTTTTTTTCTAGGTTAAATTTTCCTTCTTTTTTTTTTGTCTAATCTAAAATAGAATAGTGTAAGATCCTATTAATAAATGTATGAATATAATTGTTCAATGAGAATTTTGAAAAAAAAACACATATACAAAAAAAGAAAAAAGACTAATTAAATAAAAATGTTTATGAGATTTAATAGTTTTGTTTTTGTATTATCATGATGTTGATTGTTGCTGCTGTTGATCACTATCGAAATAGGGTTGATTTAAATCTTCTTTAGTCATATTTGATGATGACGAATCAATTGAATTAGTCATATCAATAGTTACAGATGAATTTTGTATGTGATCATTTTGATTGTGTAATGATGTTTGATGAGTTTCATCGAGTTCAGGCCAAGCTTCATTTGTACTTTCTTTCGTTTTCATACGATCATTTAAAGCTTTTAAGGCTTTTTGTCTGCAAAGAAAAGAAAATTATCAGTATCAAAGGATTAGAATGATTGAATTTAGTCAACCTTCATTTTAAATTCTAATCGTATCTCAAATATAATAAATTTTATTAAAAAAAATCTTGAAGAGCGAAGAATTTTTTTTACAGTTATTATCAAGTTTTATGATATTATTAAAGTATGTTTATCAGCCTATAAAATTGTACTCTAGATATATTTTTTAGTTTTGCTTTTATAATCATATTACTATAATAATTTTCAAAGCAATTAACAATACATTATGACAAATGGATTTTACTAGAATACCCTAGAATAATAAGAGACAATGTGTGTCATTATGCAGAATGGAAGGAAATATGTAATAGTATACACTGGAAAGAAAAGAATAACGGAATGTACTTCTATGACTCCATCTAATCAAGTGATAAAAAATTGTTCTAGAGAAAGAAGAAAAAATGTTCGAGTGACACATTTATTTCGTATTTGTATTAGAACGTATTTCTACGTCATTGAGAGATAAATAGAGTTATTATTCATTATGGGGAAAGTACGAAATTGAATTAAAAGCTCTTATAATTGTCTCATAAATCATTAATAATTGACAGAGACACAACAGAATTTTCGTAAATTCATGATGATTCTATCTTAATATTGGGATGAATTTGAAATATAATGAAAGAAAATCTAGAACGTGTTTGTATGAATAAAGTCTGTCAACCATTAATGAAAGAAAAAGATGCACTAATGGAATTAAAATATTTCAGGCATGAACTACAGAAAAGTAGGTAGGCAGACAGACACTTATTTTAATGAACATTTATTACAATCTACAATCAAAAGATTGAGCTTAATAATATTAATTTATCGCGATACTACAATGAATAATTTCTGTTAGAAAGTAAGCGAAATATATTTCGCATGGTAAAACATTATTGTCTTAACTTAACCTTGAGATAGAAATACATTAAAACCAAAAATCTTTCTCTCACAAAAAAAGTGGTAAATATGCTAACCATATTTCTTTGAATTTTAACGTTAAGTTATTAATAGAAAACGATGTTTATATATACCTTCGTCTATCCGCATCAGCAGCTTCTGGCCCAGGAATTGTAATTGTTAAACTGGATGATGAGAGAACATTAGATTTCTTCACAAATGGTTTACATAATTTTAATTGAACGAATATTTCAAAAATTGTATTTGCAAATACACTTATAACTGGTGAAATAGGTGATGGAAAAAAACTGAAAAACATCAAGTTTCATAAAAACAAAAGAATATTTATTTTTATTTACCTAGCAAATGAAAATGATGCTGACATATCACCTTTTGTTCCATTTTGATGATTTTGAAAAAATCTAAATAATTCAATAAATTTGTAAAGAATTTTCTTATCTGATTTTTACCTTAAATAAGTCCAACTAATAATTATTCCAAAACTTAACATAATTAAAAAATGAATTGGTACAGTTCGAGCAAACCAAAGTATTGTGGACAAAAGTACAATTAATAATGGTACTTGATCTTGTTTAAGTTTAAAAAATGGTGTTGTTGCTATAACAGTATCAGGCATAATTTGTTTAATAACAACTGAATAAGCACCAATAAATGCGGCTAAACCATAAATTGGTCTTTCAAATAAATATTCTTCTTTAAATGTTAAACCATAAAAAACAAAATAAATACATGTAGCAAATACTGCATTTGGAATTGTGACAATAAAATAAAATTTTAATAATTCTTTGGTACCCCATAATGGTTCAATCATTTTTGAATAAAGAAATACAACAACAACATCAATAATTGTATGCCATATATGTAATTCAATAAAACTATGTGTTATAAATGTCCTAAAAATAGAGACTTGATATATATTAGGAACAATTCTAAAATCTATAAACAAACCAAACCCAAAAATTTGGTGGCATTACACGTCCTGGAATAACAGCGAGTGCATGAACACATGGTTGGCTGTAAGAAAGAAAATATCCAATAATACAAAAAAGACAGATTAATTTTGTTGTAAGACCAGAAGAAAATACAGCGGACTGTAATTGTTGTCCAACATTTTGAACACCTGTTTGTTGCATGATCTAAATTTTAAAATATAAAATTAAATTTATATATACATATAAACGTGTACATACTTTTGTTTGGGAAATTATTTCAATGATAATATATCTAACATAGTCTAGAAACCGGTTAATTTACGGAACATTTATGATTCATCACAGTTAACAACGTAGACAAATGATGATTTGGTTTTGGTGATAGTTAAATGTATGTTATATTGGGTATATAATGGATTTTTAATAGTTATACAGCGACAAATATGACTATACAGATGTCAGTAGAACCTTATTTGAAATAGATTTATTTATATTTATCTTGATAAATGATAGTAATATATAAATATCTTTCTGGATGTCAATTTAGAGTCTATATAATATTTTATTTATGTCAACCTGTCATGAAATTATTAGATAAGAGAATATCCATCATAATCGTAAAGTAATAAAACTATCAAGTTGATAGTTTGTATTCTAAGATTGTTATAATAACTAAGCAAATTGTTATTTCTTATTAGATCCATATTGAATAAATATGGTCACGTTATTTCATTATGATAGACGGTGCCGCTTTTGGGCGCACTAGTTAAGGGTCATATGGTCATAGCATACGACTCTAATTTAATATAGTGACCGTCCGTATTTCTGCGCCCGCTATACAGTCCGTACATCGATCTGTATCGTTCGACTCGATTGATATATATTACAATTATCAAAAACTATATTTCGTAGAGGAAGACTTATCAATTTTCATCATCTGGTTAGATGACGATTACATTATCTTTTGACTCGTTACGCAACTTTAAAATGTCCGACTGATATACTTTTTTTCGATATTGATAAGTATTCCTTCGTCTCATACTTAACTTATCTTAAGTCGAAAATGTATATCTTTAACTTACAAATTTTACTACATTACAAAAACAGTCGGATAAATAAATATATTATTATATTTTATTAAAAATTACACTGTTATTTTTTACTTTAATCAAAAAGAAAATACAATTAACAAAAATAATCATTCTAAAATCAATTATGCACGATATTTTAAAAATATTTTAATTTAATTGTTTTGCACAATGTATATGAACTTGACTACCATCGGGATAGACAACACAAGATGTTTCATAAAATTGATGTAAACAATGTTTACAACGTCGATATTCATTTACAATTACATTTGAACATTTTAATTTCGCTAATTTTATATTTAATTTCTCATTTTGTAAACGACTTAAAGCTAATTCAAGTTTTGTCGAACGTTCTGTATATGAATATGAACGTACAGCACGTAGAAGAATATCTGCTAATAATGAAATTGACCAATGTGATGGTAAACGTTTTAAAATTTCAAGAAAATTAAATTCAATTTCATTATTACAGAGAAGGCGAAGAAGTACTTGAGTTATTTCGTCTGGATGTCTAAATTTTTTTGTTTTTTAAAAGAAAATATGTTTCTTAGTTAGAAATTTACTTGTCTATACAAGCAAGAAGCACTTTGAATAATATATGAGCAACTATTTTTCGATCTTCACTCGATTTTTCATATGATAAAGCAGTACAATAATTTACTGCATATTCAAAATCTTCAAGTTCGTTGACAAGTATTTCAAATGCTTGTTCAAAATTGTTCATCTAAATATGAAATAATTATTTGTATATATTAAAAATAGAAGAACATTCGAATGATTAACCTTGCCATAAAGAAGGGCTACTTCACGTTTTAATCGATCTGTTTGATTGATACGATGAAGAACTGATTGAATACGATAAGAATTTGATTTTATAAGAAATTCTTGGAGTTTTAATCTATAATGCAAAAAAACATTAATTAATTCAATAAAACAAAAAGTGATTATAAATTAACCTTATATGCTCATCATCTTGAGGAGATTTAGACAGCAATTGATCGAGATAAATATTTACTAATGTTGTATGAATATCATCAGTCTAAAAGTATAAACAATTTATATTAGAAATAATAACTTGTTTACGTGATAAATTTTCTGAAATTAGTTTTGACGAGGGAACTACCCGAAGTGTTACCGTCTTTTTGAGCTCATAGTGTAGATAGAAACCTGAAAAGGTATTAGAATGACCGACTGCCGTGTTCCTCCTCAGGGCCATGAGAAAAACTCACTTTCGAATTTCGACTTGAAACTTTGTACAAAGTGAGGTCTTAATGAGAGTAATTTATTGTGAAAGTTTCAGCTTTCCTCAATACTCCTAATGTCAAATAAGAATACCAACACCAGCCTTTCTAAATGGCATTAGTTTATCGTAGCCATATCTTCGAATAGGAAAAAGGAGTAGCTCACTTTGTACAAAGTTTTAAGACGAAATTCGAAAATGAGTTTTTCTCATATTCCTACGGAGGACTACAGCAGCCTATTATCCTGATATCTCAACAAAAGCAAGATTTAGGGATGAACCCTTTTTGGGGTTTCTGTCTATACTATAAGCTCAAACGGAAGATGATACTTCGTGTGGTTCCCTCGTTAGTAAATTATGAAAACTTTAAATTTCGAATCGAGATCTTCATATATACTATTTATCAATAATCGACTACTGCTCCGATGATAATGATATTAACCCGATTGTTATAGATTGAGTTGAAGAGGAATTATGACGAACAGTAGCTTATACTACTGCAAACTTTATCGCCCGAAAACTAGGGATAATTGTAGTTTCAGAAATTAACTAATAATCTTACTTCAATCATTAATTTAAAAGCAGCTTGTTCAAGATAATTTCTTAATGCTGTTGGATATGGTTTTAATAAACTCATAACTCGATCAGAACAAAATATATCATCATTTGATTCATCTTTATGTTTAGCAATAAAAATCTAAACATACATATTTTATATATATTTTCAAATAAAAAAAATCTTTAATGACTTTTATGGCCAGTTCTTCTTCGTTTTGTTCTAATAACCATTTTGCAATAGAAAATTCCACTGACCGATCAATATTTCGTTCAAGAATATATTTCGCAATAACCCAAATGCCTGGAAATGTATCATCATCATTTGGATATTCTTTCAATACAATTCTATACTAAATGAAAATTTAAGAAATCAAAAGAAAATAATAAAAAATTCCATTCAATTACTTTTTCCAAATTTCAATTGTTTCTTCATGTTTATCATGAGCAGAATAAAGTATTGCAACACCATGATAAAGTTGAGCATTAAAAAGTAAATTATTAAAATCAATTGGAATAAATGAAGCATTTTTTTCAAGAAATTCTATTATCATTTCACGTGATTTTATAATTAAATAAGCTTTCAATATCGATGAATAATAATCCTTTGAATAATATAAAATAATTCATTTGATACATATTAGGTTTTTTGTACTTACAGGTTGAAGAGAAAAGTCTGTTGATCGTTTTATCATATAATCACAAAATGCAGTTAACCATTGTATATATTTCGATCGATTATTTTCATCGAAATTTGGCCATGGAGAATTTAATGGTAAAAAATCTGCTATATAGTTTATAATTTCATAAAAATCTAAATGAATCGCATCGAATAAATCTAATGCTTGGATAACATTCAATGAAGTAAATTGAATAAAACCAATACGTTTTTGAGTTGATATTATAAGTGAATTTGTCTGTTGTTTTTCAGTAATTGAACAAGTACTTTTTGCTAAATTTAATGCTTCATCTAATCGATATTTAATTAATAATTGATCTATTTGTTTTTCGATACTAATTGACTCAAGTAAATAAATCTTATCTTTAGTATTTATAAGAATACTATTTCGATTTTCTTCAGGAATATTTATTAGAGTTCGACAATACCCAACATGTATCTTTTGTTTTGGTTGATCATCTAAATAACTAAAAGAAAATAAATGAAAATATTTTTGTTTTAATTACACAAAAAGAAACAAGCAGACCTATAAATATGAATATAATCATTGACAACTGCGATTAAATATGGGTGTGAATAGATAAACATATTTGGTTGACTAGTAAACATAATTGGAGCACGTTGACTTGTGCCTTCTAATGTGGTTGTTATACCAATATTAGGACCATTGATTAAATATTCACCCTATGAAAAATATTTATAGATCATATCAATTTATGTCTATTATAAAGATAAAACAATGATACAATCAATTTCTACTAATGATGGAACCTTCTGAGATGGTACATCCCGTTTTCATTCATTCATATCTCAGTTAGTTAAGTATATTGAGATAGTAAAAACACTAAAGGGGATTTTCCCCAATCTCATTCTTTCAGTAATTGATCCCATTTTACTAGATTTTCGACCCATTATTAGATATATACCTCAAAAAATAAACTTCGGAGTTTTTACTATCTCAATATACTTAGCTAACTGAGATATGAATGAGTGAAAACGAGATGTACCACCTCAGAAGGTTCTCTCGTAAGAATTCCTTTCTAGATAGAAACAAACAGGGGCGTATTGAGGCCAAAAAGGGGAGGGGGAGGCGTACAATGGACATAGGTCATATTTTTACTATTTTCAATGTAATATCTAAAAGGGGGGAGGAGCGTCACGTTCCTGCAAACAAGTTTATATTTACCGATGTAATATTTGTACAATAAGATGGTATACTCGAATCATGTAGTGTAAAAATAATTTGAGAAGAACTTATTGATAGCCGATCGTTATTTATCTCAAGAATATATGTAAAATACTTTGTTTCTGAACATGCTAAAATTCCATATTCATCCATACTCTAAAACCAAAGTCAAATTAATCTAAATTCTTCTATTAAAATATACTATACCATTGATATTAATGACTCTTGCACAGATAGTTCCTGTATGAAATTAATTTTTGTTAGATCAAGTAGATAGAGTTGTAATTTATTACGTTTTGTTGATAGACACATCTAAATTGACTTAAATAAACAAAAAATTTGTTATATATTTATTAAAATCTTACATCAACAGATGCTCCTTGGGAAGATTTATTTGATATAGCAAATGTTATAATATTTTTTAATTTTATATTTGGTATAAACTAAAATTTCATATACATCCAAGGAATAAATAATAATATATATCTTACTTGTAAATTACCACTATTAAGTATTTGAATAATATTATCACTCAATGTAATAACACGTTGAAGAGACGGTGGACCTACTTTTATTTTTACAACTGGTTTACGCTAAAACAAACAAACTAAATATCGAAGAATAAAACTTATTCATTTATTTTACTGTTCCAAGATGAATACTACCAACACGTTGACAATTAAATTCATCTTCCTGTGAATTTGTTAGATTTTTTTGTAATTGAAATTTATGAACAAAACTAAACGAAAAAAATTATTAAAATTACAATATAAAATGTCAACATAGATCTTTTTTTTCTTCTTCTTAACATTCGAATATTAAATCAACTTGACATTTATTTTATATAAAAGTACAATAATCTGTATACAAAGACATAATTTTTCTTTTCAATCTAATTTCGTAAATAACACATGCATAAAATTTGAAAGAAACAAAAAAATTTTTTTTTTGCTTATGATATAATTCATAAAATGTCTTCTAATCTATATGATTAAACCTGTCATTTGTTTCTGAATGACTTGTTCATTCTCGGATAAAATATACATATAAAATAAAGGGTGTCACCGTGTCATTTCATTGATTGATTCTCTTAAAAGTAGACTATCACATACACACATTAAATTAAATCGATAACATGAAATGTATGTGTTATTAAAATGTCATTCAAATAAAAGGTTAAATATCTATCTAAATAGAACAATTGATCGATTGATTAAACAAGATTTTTCTTTTTTTTTTTGTCTCAATCAATTTATTGATAAAACAGGTGTCTTTAATATCCTTATTTTCTTATCAGTGATATCACATCAGACAGAGTAAATGCTCCCAGCTTATTTATATATATATATATATGTAGAACAACGCCCTGTTTTATACAAGACTAAATTGTACAGTCGATTAATCATATTCTTCTCTTTATACAAACAAAACTGAACGAGACAACTGTACCCCTGCAGGGAAATATAATTTATCAGCATAATCGGTTGATCGACCTGTATGCTAAGGCTTTTTCTATTTTAGAAGAATGATTGAAAGTTTATTGACATAAGTTCTTTCGCTATGTTCAAGAAATGAACACACACGCACACACACGTATATTGAGTTCAATTACCACTTGGCTAGCATCGATTATTTATCTTGATCATAGAGCACTTGGTAAATATCATTTAAAAGTATTGAACGTGTTCATAATCTATGTATATACTCGACATATATGTATGTATTCAATTGATACAGCAATGTGAATAACGAACGTCTGACGTTATTAGATATTTGTGCGATAGAGAGAGAAAAAAAAATTTAATTAAATAGAAAATCACCGAATTATATCAAATTATTTCTTTTTTCTGTCAAATAAATGATAATGAAATAGGTATAATAAATAGAAAATGTACTGTTAGATAATTCATATTTAATTTTAATGATGAAGAAGTATATAGTGAAGAATTAATTGATTCGAATGATAATGCAATACCACAAGATTCGTATTCATTTTGTTTCGCTTTTTTATATTGACGTTTAAGTTGAATTGTTAAACATTGAGTTTCATCGAGTAATGAACGAAAACAATCACGTAAACGTGAATAGATATTACAATCATTATCAAGTTGATCGGCATAGGAAGAATCTTGTATACAATTTTCGAATTTAAATTGACAAAATTGTGAACGAAATGGTTGTAATGTACCAAGAATATTGAATAGTTGATTTGATGATTGATCATGTTCATCAGTTTCCGAAAAACTATATTTTAATATTGATAATATGATAAATAATTGTGTAAAAAAATTCGAAATTCGAATGATCATTATGAAAACGATACTAATAAGATTTAATTGAATCAACACAATATTGAATGGATATATGTATATATACAGGAAGAAGAGTTCTAATTTACATTGCTATCGCTGTTGAGTACACAACATGTCGAAAGAGAAACGAGACGAAACGATAATGATAAAGAATAGTAAAGACAGAAATATGATAGAGCATATTTCTCTCCATTTTCTCTCTCTTTCTCTCTGTTCTATTCAAGTGTTGGAGAGAAGGAAGGCAAAAGAAAATATGTTCTCTCTTATGTTCACTATGATTATAAGAGAGAATTGCACTATACTAACCAGTGATTATGGTAAATGAATGAATGACCAACGGCGACGATTATTTTTTGTTCCGTGCAAAAAATAGGCGGAGGAAATCTCTTACATCACAGCATGAAATAAGATTATTTTAGAAAACATGATTTTCAAACAAAATAAACATATTTATTTTAACTTAATAAATCGTTTTTATTTCTATATCTACTTATGATTTATCTTTCTCTTTACGAAATAAATTAATAATTATCTCTCTTGATGACACATTTTACGAGTGTCTATCTTTTGATCTCTAAAGTTGTCATCGGTCATTTCCTTTTCTCATCAACAATGCCTATTAAAATGTCAAGTACTACTCTCTTCTTTTATTATAGACAATCAATATGTATTATATATGATAATCACGTATTCATCATAAGTTATAAACACTTTCAATTGCTGATAAAGTTTCGAGTGACTAACAAATATAGAGGAAAAAAACGACAAGATGTATCATACAATTCTATGATAATTCAATTTGATTTCTTTGTTAACAAAAAAAATGTCATTGCTACGAAAATGTTATTCAATATGTAAATAGTTAAAATACACATATGTAAAGATTTATTTATGTATAAGGAAAAAAAAAACTAATGGCCATGATTAAGTATAACAAGGCATTCTTTTTCTTTCTTATATAAGATATTGATTTTCATTCCTTCAATATCTAGACATTTGACTCTTCGTATTAATATTTTGTGTATGTTCTCTATTGCCTATCGTCCATGATCCAATAAGAAGGGGAAAAAAGAACCTGATATGCATTGCGATTAGAATAATACCATCACCATTATACATCTATAATTTATCTTCATAAAGAAGGAAGCACAGACGCAACATGTGCGTTCAGATATTTGTCTATGGAGAAAAAAAGAAGATTTCTTTTCTATTTCATACAGAATGGGGGAATTGGTTAGTCTATCGTAATTTTTCATGGATAAATAATTTATTTTAAAAGGTTGCTTATCGATTTGAAATTCAAATCAAATCGTCCACTTAATGTAGTGAAGCAAATGAAATGCAAAAAAAAATTAAATGACAACATAAGTTAATTATTCTATGATCTAATATTTAAACTTGAAAGGATCGAAAAGAACATACAATCTTTGTAACCTTCAAATACAACTGAATGTCAGTTGAATAAAAAACGACAAACGATTATGATTTTTAACTGTATTTTCATTTTCTATGGCACTTAAGTATTTAATAAACCAGTAAAAATAACTTACCCATCAGTAGTTCCAATATATAAATCGTTAATACGGGTCGAAAATTGACTAGACGTTGATATTGAATAATTATTTATATCAATGCATTCAATCTTAAAAGAAAAAGAAAAGACGTTTTATATTAAACTATAAGAAAAATTTGATTGATAAAATATTCATAATTATTACCTCTCCTATATTACCATCAATTTGATTTTCTCGAGACCATAGAGTAGTTAATGAAAAAATATCAAGTGTCATGTTAATAATAAATCTAAAAATATATAGAACAATTTAATTTTGTTTGTAACATTTCACGTGTTAGGTCGTATTCATAGAAATCTTTTTGTTTCAAAACATGATTTTTTGCAATTATTTATTTGTATAGCAAAATATAATTAGAAAATTTTTCTTTAGCAAATAATAAATCAACTACATTACATTTCATGCTTACTATTAGAGAAAATATTTGATGGTAATTGTATAAGTATGCTTCATATGATTCTAATCAAAATAAACAAGATATATAAGCTATTTCATGTAGGAATACCAAGTTTCTTGCTATGATTTATTCTCAACATACATAAAATTCATTTATACTTTTTAAAATTGAATTGATCTCTATATTAGATATACAGCTGATCATATGTTTTTTAATCGTAATATGTTCAAGGAAATGTATATGAATTTTTGTCTAAATTCAAAAACTATTGGTTCCATAATTAGTTGATATATATCGTAGTGTAAGGCAGTAACTATTATCTTCCGGAACCATAATACTTTGAATATGGATTGAAATATTGCTTAGTATTCTAGAATGTGTTAACTATCCAAAGAAATTAGATTACATTTCATAATGAATTATCCGAGCAGTTTTGATTTAGGCAATATATCATTGTAATTCGAAAATCCTCTAAAATAATCTTCGCTAATTTTTACAAGGATCTGTTAAGTACCTTAGTTGATAAAGGAAACATATAAAATCAAGTAGTTATAGAATGAATATGAATTTAAATATGCTATATTTATTTTAACTTCGAAGATAAAAGAATTGTGGATCCAAATTCTTATCTAAACTTTACTTTAGTCAAAAGAAAACCTTGAGCCATAGCGTCATAAAAGAGATGTATAAAAATACTTCTCACATAGATAATATTCACATGCTTATTTTTTGATTTCTTATTTGATTTTATCAAATAGAATTGTTGGACTTATGTACAATGAAAGATATTCTATTTTAAATTCATTGATCGTTCTAAATATCTCATATAGAAAACTAAAACTCTTTCAAAAACCATAATCTCCTATCTTATCTTCATTAATTGGTTATTTAATAACCAATAGAAATCATTTCTTTAACCTCAATGTCTTGTTTGCATAAATCACTTAATAAGTCTTATTGTATTCGATTAAAAAATTTTACTTTTTATATTCTTTCATTTAAAAACCAAAAATAAAGAAAATTTTATTTATATTTCTCAAAAATTTTCTTGTTGTATATTCAACTTTTTTCCTTCCTAAAATCTGTGACGTCATTCGCTAGAAATTGTTGTACGCGTATCACACATTCTTCCCTCGCCTTTTGTTTTCTCTTCGTAAGAAGATCACCTATTTATCTTTCGTTATACCCTACCCATATTGCTTACATATTCGATATATCCATATATTTGTTAGTTTAAATTCTATTCAGGTGAGAATTTGTTTTTTCTTATTATTTAACGAAATATAAAATCATGGCCTCTTTGGTCAAAGCTAATAATCTTATTATACGTCGTCCAGCATTATTTGTTTATAAATATATTAAACAACTTGCATTTGATTATCGCGATGCATTAATTGATACAGGAAAAAATCTTGTTAAACGTCCAATAAAAACAATATTTTATTCATCAAATATATGTTTTTTTATCTATGCATATCGAACAATGCCATCATTTAATTCGTATAAAAATGATTTAGTACAATTTCGTCAACAACAAATCTTAACATCAAGTCTTATACGTAATAAACAAGTGGAAAATTATATCGATACAATTGAACAATTATTATTACGCGAACAAATACATTTTGTTGATTGTTATCTTTTTTCATTGATTATTTACAAGAATCAACATCGTACAAATGAATTTTCATATAAATTCTATGAGAATGTATGTAAATATCTTCATTTAAAAAGAAATGCAAGAATTATCGATATTGGAATATGTAATCGATGGTTTCAATTAAATCGAAAATTACAACAAGCTGATATTTTTGATGAAATTAATAATAAAAAAATTGCTTTGTAATATAATAGAATACAAAATGTTTAGAGAAAAAATAGAACGAAACAAAAAAATTCGATTATCATTTCTTTTGTTCTCTTTGCAGATAGAGATAAAGAAGAAAAAAAACAGAAAGAATATCGGTCGCCACCTTATTCGTCGTCGTCTTCATCGTCGCTGCGAACAGATGTTTTTTAGTACTTTCTTTTTCTATACATCTTCATTTTCGCTCGTGCGCTTTCTTTTATTGATATGATATCGAGCTTACACATACATCTGATGTATGTATGTGTGTGTGTGTGTATGTGTGCATGTAAAGAGAAAAAATTTGTTCGTCTACTGATGAACAATCGATAGTATTGTGTTTGAATTCGAACGTGTATATTTTTTTTCTTTCTTACTTTATGTCTTTGTCTTTCATATATATTTATACACATACATCACATTTGTTGTTTTATTGACTTTGTTCTTCGCGTTTTTTTTTCTTTGTTAATGAAAGGAGTCACATTCATTGTAATAAAACATTCTTAGTCATTTTTTTTACCTTTTCGATAGAATGATATTTTGACTTGAGTTTTTTTCTTTTCTAACCTTTTCTCATTTATTTTTTCTAGGACTAAAGAAATCATGGCCGCGGCAATGGATGACAACTATTTTAGAGAAAATGGTCTTACTACTGATACGACTGGACATATTATGGCTTCACCATCGACAACATCAAAGAAAAATGATGTCGATGATGTACCTGATTACAATGAAGCTTTTCCGCAATTAAGATCTGCTGGACAAGTTGATGCTAATCGTTCAAATACATTTTTCTCAACAGCATTTCCAACATCATCAAATGGAAATAATTCAACAGGTGCCATGGCTAATACAACAACATCATTACATTCATCAGCCAAAACTGATGAAGAACGACGACGTAAAATGGCTATTCACGCATCATCAGCCACAACTAAAATTGTACGTAATTCTATAAAAAGATTTTATTGCTTTTTTTTACCCTTGCGAAAATCTAAAGTAAATAAATTTAGTTTTATTTACTTGTATAAAAATATTTATTATTGTTTGAGAAGATATTTTTCAGGTTTCATATTCAGTTTTTTTTATTTATTTCAAGTACATCGATGAAAAACATATAAACAGCAGGTCATGCTCACATTTGAATTTTAACTGAGAACATTTTTTTTCGTACGAAAGTTTATTTTTTTAAAATAAATCAAATACTTGACAGTTTTATCGACAAAATCACGCATCGAAATTATAGATTTTATAAGATTAAAAAATACGAAATTTTTATGATTTAGATAGATATTATATAGATTATAAACTCTCATAAAGTACGTCCACTTCTGACACCTACATCGGAGATGATCTGTTTATTATTAGATGTAAAACTGTTAAGATTTCGCTTTCGTCATTCTGTATTGACCTTTTTCGTTATTGAGAGAATAATGCTACGTCACGTGATCAGGTAGATAAGTGCATTTTTTCTTTGTACCCATAAAAATAATTCAAATAACATCTATATGTTTGTTTTTTCTTTTTTAAAGATTGAAATTCCACCAGATGAGCGTGCTACGGAAAAATCGGATCCTCGTCGTGGTGGTAACCAATCATCACGTAATACTGGTGCTACTTCTACTAATGCACAAGCATTACAAAAACTTTGTATGCGTATTCAAAAGGAAACAAGTAAAATTCAAAGACTCTTTGTTTTTATTTAAAAATAATTCTCATTGTCCGTTTTTTAGATACAGCTCTAACATCTTTTTACAAAGATCAAACATTAATTGTTCAAATAACCGGTCGACCTGAACAAGTTCGTGCAGCACAAGTTCAACTTCTTCGTGAAATTCAAAAACCTGTTAAACTCTCCGTTAATATTCCATTGGATTTTCATCGTTTTATCATTGGTTCAAAAGGTTCAACATTAAAACAATTAGAACATGAAACACAAACACGTATTACAGTACCAGGAAAAGATAGTCAATCGAATGCAATACAAGTTGAAGGTGCAAAAGATAATGTTAAATTATGTGAACAACGAATTCTTGAATTATATCAGACACAATTAAATAAAGGTTTTGAACGTTTATCGATTCCTTGTTTATATCATCCATGGGTTCGTTATCAACTTGTTGATGATTTACATCGTCAATATAATGTAACGATTGATTTACCACCACCAATTAAACAAACAGATGAAATAAGTGTACGTGGTGAACGTGAACCAGTTGAACAAGCTAAAGCTAAAATTTTACAATTCTATAAATCTTTGGAAGGAAAAATTATGACATTTCCATTGGAAATTCCATGTGAACAACATCGATTTATTTTAGGTAAAAAGGGTGCTGGCTTAAAAGAAATATTTGATAAAACAAATGTTATTGTTCGTATACCCAATCAAGAAGATAATTCACCAACAATTCAAGTTATGGGTGAAACAGCTAAAATTGGTGATGCTATTACAATGATATACAAAATGGCTAATGCAGTAAGTGTTGTACAAATCAATGCACCACGTTGGATGCACGGAGCTGTTAAAGGTGAACGTAATAGTCATCTTGAAAATTTTCGAAAAATTCATCCAGATGTTCGAATTTTCTTCCGGGATGAACATATTTCATTGGAAGGACCACCAGAAGAAGTTGAACGTGTTCGTAGTACAATTCAAGCAGCTATTGATGAATTAAAAAATAAGAATACAACTTATGGTGAACTTGAAATTGATCCACAATATTATAAACAATTGATTGGAAAAAATCAAGCACGTTTACTTGAAATGCAAGAACAAACAGGTTGTGATATTAAATTTCCATTTGACGAAGGTCGAATGGTTAAATTAATGGGAACAAAAGAAAGTGTGGAAAAAGCACGACAATTAATAACTGAACGAGCTAAAAAATTGGTAAGATTTTAAAAACAGAAACTATTCATCATAAATTTCTTCTTATTTTAGTCAACTGAACTTACAACTGGTGTAAGTATTGATCCACAATATTATCCACAAATAATTGGTGCTAATGGTAAAAATTTAGATGAAGTTCGTTCGAAATTTCATAATATTAGAATAACATTTCCTGATGCAAATGGTAAAAGTGATAAAGTTATGTTACATGGTGATAAAGATGATGTTGAAAAATGTACGAAATTTTTACAACAAAAAGTTAAAGATCTTTATTCAGTTGAAATTGATGTACCCAAACGTTTATATCCAATGTTAATTGGTAAAGGTGGTGCAAATATTCAACGTTTACGTGAAAAAACACCTGATGTTCGTATTGATATTCCATCACTTGATGATACAAAAGAATCAACACATATTCGTTTAAGTGGTAAAAAAGTTGATGTTGATAAAGCACGAACAGTTCTTGAAGAACATATTACACAAATAAATACATCAATAGAAAATTCAATTGAACAACATATGACAATTGATCCAAAATGGCATAATAAATTCTTTCAAAATAAACGTAAATTATTAACTGATTTACAACAACAATATGGTGATATGTTAATTAAATTACCTGAACGTAATGCTAATTCTGATCAAGTTTTATTACGTGGACCAAAAGAAACTATTGAACAAGTACGAAAACGTTTAGAAGAATTAACTGATACATGGGAAAATACCATTACAAAAGAAATGTCAATTCCACATCGTCATCATGGTTATTTACTTGCTCAAGGTGGTGCTTATATTCAACCAATACAAAAAGAATATAATGTTCAAATTAAATTTCCACCACGAGGAAATAATCAAAAAGATGAACAAGAAACAACAAAAGAAACAACAAAAGAAACAACAAAAGAAACTGAAACAACAACAACAACAACAACTGGTGATGAAACTCAAAAAGATATTATTCGTTTAACAGGTCGTTCGGATGATATTGATAAAGCTATGGTTGCATTAGAAAAAATGATTCCAGTTGAAACTACAGTTGATATTCCATATGATACTCATGGTTCATTAGTTGGTAAAGGTGGAAGTAATCTTCAATTATTAATAAAACAATATCCTGATGTTCAAATAACATTTCCCAAAGCTAATTCAGCGGTTGATACAATTCAATTAAAAGGTCAACGTGAACAAGTTGAAGGTGCACGAAAAGAATTACTTGAATCATATGAAAAATTTCAAGCTGATCGACAAGCACGTTCATTTGCAATTCATTTTACAATTAAACCTGAATATCGTTCATTAATCTTTGGCTTCCGTGGTAAAACAATAAATAATTTACGACAAAAATTTGATGTTAAAATTGATGTTAAAACTGATGTTGCAAGTAATCAAGTACCATCATCAGCTGTTGTACCAACACCATCAACAACAAATGATGAAGAAACAACTCCAACAACTGAACAACTTGATGATCAACAAGCAACACCACAAGATAATCTTCCATTACCAACTGATACAACAACATCAAATCAATTATCTGATATTGACATTACCATAACTGGTTATGAAGATAAAGCAAAAGAATGTCGTGATGAAATTTTACGTTTAATTAAAGATTTTGAATCGAAAATAACAATGGAAATTGAAATTGATTCACGTATACATGCTCGTATTATTGGTTCAGGTGGATCAAAATTACAAGCAATTATGAAAGAATATGGTGTCGAAATTAAGTTTCAAGCTAATAATAAAAGTGATAAAGTACATGTTGTTGGTTTAGATCAAGACAAAATTGATGCTTGTATTGATCATTTATTAGTACTAGAAGAAGATTATCTTGGTGATCTTCCATATCGTACAGGAGCTGCTACACAAAACCAAAATGAATTAACATTAGGTCAACAATTAACGAATACTCAACAACAAGAAGTACCATCGACTAATAATGTTAAATCATCTAAAAATGATAAAAAACAACGACAAGCACCATTTCTAGTTAAAAATGCACCATGGACAAATGGTAACGAGCATGAGAATGAACATCAACAAAAAAATTCTTCACGACAACGAAATGGACATGATAATTCACCAAAAAAATCTGCACCAGCTCTTAGTGATTTAGGTAAGACAAATTGATTTATTATTATTATTCAGAGAAAATATCTATATAAAGACATAAATATGGTTCTAATAAAAATGAAATTTTTTAGGTGAATTTCCAACATTCAGTAATGGTCTCTCAAAGGAAACCGAGGTTGAACCATCACAAGTACATTCAACAACAGTGAGCTCAATACCAGTCATGTGGGGTCCTCCAAAACGAAATAAATAAGAGCGACACATTTATGAAAAAAAAGAAACAATATTCGTGTGTCTTGTCCCTATTGTCACGTCGAAAAACTGTGATTTGTTCTCTTTTACCCGTTCCCGTAACATTATTTATATATCTTTCTTGTGTTTGCTCAACTCGTTTTTGACTCTTTAAAGAAACATTTCCTTGTTCTTCTCCGTTCTTTTTCCCCATATTTTCTATTTCGATGTCTTCTTCTTCTTCTTCTTCTTTTTCTTTTTTGTGCTTTTTCTCCATCTACTCATAAACATATTATTCTTTATTCTTATTGGGTTTGTTGTGATTTTTATGTCTCTATTAGAAGATATATGAGAGAAAAAAAGGATTTTATAAAAGAGTGAACTATCGGTTATCATTATGCAATACTATCACGTTGTTTTTGTTTTCTCATCAGTTTTTGTTTCCCTTCTTCTCATTATGTGTACATACCATTTTTTTGGTTAAACTACTCTGTTTTCTTTTTTTTCTTCTTTGTTCATTGTTTACGAACTAGTTTAAAACAAAAACTTCGATCTCTTATCATTTTGTCCCGTTGAAAACTTTATGTGTACGTGTGCGATCTTGGCCTTTTGTTATTTGTTTAGTCATGGGTTATATCTATCTTTGGTTTTTTTTTCTTTGATTTATTCTTCTGTGTATGTTTATGTAAGGGAGGATTTTCTTTTTTTTTTGTTTTTTTTTAAAACCAAACTATCTATATCATTTTATATCAATCGTGTGCCCGCGTGCTCTTACCGATAAGACTATATTTGTCTCTATCGTTATTCGTTTTGTTTGTTATTGAAAAAAATTGAGAATGATTATATGGATATGTGTGTGTGTGTGTCCTAAGAGATAAAACCTTAAGATTTGCTAGTTGTATGCGCGCTCTGTTTCTTTTAATGTACTCGTTTTTTTTTTGTTTTTTTTTAAAGGAACCTTCTATTATTCTATAAGCCTATTCAACCATCATATTGTTATGAAATTGTTGTTTGTTTCTTTTTTTGCAGACTTGCGCTCGCTCTTTTATCTCGTTGTTTGATTTTTTTTTCTTCAAAAAAAAGACATAAATAAATGGTTATTGAGAAGCTATCAGAACCACCAAAATTGATCATTGTTTGCTTAGAAGTATCAGCAAAATTGATAATTATATTTTACCGTTTTGTTTTCATATTCAAGAAATGTTTAGTTGAAGTTTTGACATAAAAAATTGAAAGCACATATTTCTTTCGAAAAGATTTATTATAGAACAAAGAATAATAGTTATTTGTATGATCTTCCGTTTCACTTTTTCTTTTGAATTAAAGAACGATATTTCACTTTTTCATAAGCTTAAAATTCGAAATTCGTTATAAATAGTTTCAATGTTTGGTTTTTCTAGATGGAAACCGAATCAGTAGAAACTCCTCCTCCTCCTCCACCACCGACAACAACAACAGCATCGTCATCCGCAAGTGCATCTTCAAGTACTGACCCAAAACTTCCAGTATGTATACTTGTACTTGGTATGGCTGGTGCTGGTAAAACAACATTTCTCCAACGTATAAATGCTTATTTACATAGTGAAAAAAATCCACCTTATGTTGTTAATCTTGATCCAGCCGTTCATGAATTACCATATCCATGTAATGTTGATATTCGTGATACAGTCAAATATAAAGAAGTTATGAAACAGTATGGTCTTGGACCGAATGGTGCCATTGTAACATCTTTAAATTTATTTTCCACAACATTTGATCAATTATTATCGATATTAAAAAAAAATGAAACAAAACATAAATATTATATATTTGATACACCAGGTCAAATCGAAGTATTTACATGGTCAGCATCAGGTACTATTATAACTGAAGCATTAGGAGCAACTTACCCAACAATTATTGTCTATATTATGGATACACCACGTTCATCAAATCCAATAACATTTATGTCCAATATGCTTTATGCTGTATCTATACTTTATAAATATCGTTTACCATTTATAGTTGTTTTAAATAAAACGGATATAATTCATCATCGTTTTGCAATAGAATGGATGAATGATTTTGAATTATTTCAATCAGCTATTGAACAAGAACATTCCTATTCAACTGATTTATGTCGATCATTAAGTCTTGTATTAGATGAATTTTATACAAATTTACGTTGTGTTGGTTTTAGTTCAATGACCGGTGATGGTTGTAAAGAATTTTTTGATGCTGTTAATGATGGATGTCATGAATATGAACATGTTTATAAAGTTGAATATAATAAATGGCAAGATAAACGATCAAAACGTGAAAGTGATAGACGTGAAAAAGATTTAAAACGATTAAAAGATGATATAGATGCAGGATCAAGTCTTATTGGTGAAAAACGTATTCGATACGATGATATTCATAATGATGAAGAAAGTGATGATGATGGTGATGATGATAACGATGATGAAGATAAGAATAATAATAATGATGATGATGATTATGAACGTGAAGACGAATCATTTAAAAGATATTTATCAAAACATAAACCGAGTAATACTACTATGGATACGTAAACATTTGTGTAAATAAAATATAAAACTTCAATGTTTTCTTTTTTTACTTATTTGAGAATCAAATAAACCAGAAAATGTTTATCTATATTATTTGTTGAAACAAATTGTTCAATAACAGTTTACATAATAGAAATATCCATTAGTATTTTCCTATTAGATTAATCACGGAAATATATGAAACAAATAAATGATCAATGGAATATGATCAATTATATGTATTCTGTACCATGTTACAGGCAAACAGATATAAATGAGTTTTCATTTCTACATTCGATCTTTGTAGTCAGTATCATTGGGAATAAGTAGTATTTTCATCTTTTCGGGACCGGTGGCACTTTAAAGTACCATTGAGGTTTTATGTGGTCTTATGCGTAAGAATCCGAGTTTTTTTTCGCGTCTCTTCAAAGTAAATGTTGTTCTAAACGTTCGTGTTATGATCAGTATCTTCTTTTTTCTTATTCTCAATCATGCTTCGTGGATCTTTCCATTCTGTCTTATAAATATATATATGTGTGTGTTGGACTTTCCCTATCCTTCTGCTCCTCTTTCTTTCAACTAGTCTTATACATTTTTTTCTCCTGTTCGTCATCTATGGAATCTTTCTAGCTAATGAATTTTCCGTTCCTGTTATTACCTTATATATATCCTTTAGATCGTTATAAACAGAGATTGATAAAAAAAATAAAGTCAGTTGAATTAGGAGTTCACAGTTCGTGCTTCATCAATTTCATTCTACATTAGGTAACTTCAAGAAAAAGAACGCTGAACCAAATGGAAACCGACAAATGTTGAACGACTCAAAATCAGAATTTGAAACAGAGTCTGACGACTTGAATCTGTCCTTAATTTGTAAGCTTAATTTTTTCTCAAAATTAGGACGGCCTTCAAAGGGTTAAAAGCTCAAATTTGTATTTGTTTTTCAAAATATATTACAGCGCAATAAACAATATCAGAAAACATATCACAACTGCATAATTCACTACAAATATGATTTATGTAATTTTTGTAGTTGAAACTTAGACATGTAAGTCATGAGTGTTTGTAATCCTGGTAGTGCCAAGGGGGTTATTTTCAATATCAAATCTGGAAAGATATTCACTTTCCTCTTTTTTTACTCAATACAAGTCATTGATTCTGTTATGTCTTTTATACTCCAGCAAATTGACGATAAGAAGGAGAAATGAGTTTACTTCTGTATTAAAATCTTAATAAACTGCCTTCAGTCTTAACGGGATAAGTCGAACCCATAAATAAATATTTGTCTAGACTGGGTTGGATCTCCTTGATTAAAAAGCAAGATACTTCATTCAGATATCGAAAATTTATATGATTTGACAACATATTTTTGAAAAAAACTTTGTTACTATTCGTGATAATCATCTTTGATGTAAGTTAACGAAACATGCGCATCTTTCACGCAACACTACATCAATAAATTTCTTCATTTAATATAAAAATACAGTTGACTTCAGCTAGCATTTTTAAAGGTTTATAATTCGAAAATGTGTTATATTCATGCATATTTCTCCAATTATTCAGATAAAACCGTGAACAGCACATAATGAAGGAATCAACATATTCCCATCCAAATATATATGTATAGAATTTACAAGTACAAAACATGTATAGAGTTGAAAAGTGGATCTTTATATCATTTATCTAAGTACATATAACTTTTAATTAAACGAAATTTTACTACGATCAAACTTTAATCTTTGAATATAATGAATTAATTTCTACTAAACGAAATATAATCTTATGTAAGACTTTGTAGCATATGTTGTGGAGCCTTGAGTCTCTCTTGGTGTCAGCTTTGATCGTCGATCTTCAACATTATAACCCTCGTGTGATTCTAACCTTGCGCCTCATCCAGATTCAAGATACTCCACAGCTTGTGTTCCTTAGAATACCTATTTGCCAATCAATAACAAGCAGCACAATCGTTTAAAAAAATTCCTTCACAACCATAATTAATTCTAATTATTTTTACTAAAATTCTTTAATAAAATTCCTTTACTATTAAAAAATAAATATGTTAAATGAATCATTATTATCCATCAGAGAAAAAAAAAGTGTATATGAAAGAACGGAAGAAGAAGAAAAAAAGAAATTTTTAATGTAAATACATACATGCGCAATGTATCTTCTCACGCAACACTGAACACGACACATTACCTTTATATTCAATCGACATATTCTTTTGATTTTAGATTTTATTTTATCCTATTTTATTTATTTCAATGATGGGAAAAAATGTTGAAAATTCTATTTCGGAAGAACCTGAAGCATTAGAAGAAGCTGAATTTATTGTTGAAAAAATTCTTGATCGAAAAGTCCAGAATGGTGAAGTTTATTATTTTTTAAAATGGAAAGGATTTAATGAGTCAGAAAATACATGGGTATGAACAATAATCTTTAAATAAAAAAAATGACTAAGTGAACTCTTGTTTTTTTCTTTTTTCTATTTATATAATTAAAGGAACCAGAAATAAATCTTGATTGTCCAGAATTAATTGCTGATTATCATAAACGATTAAATGCTCAACCAAAAAAATCTTCAAATGGAACAACAGTTCAAACTAATGCAACAAATAATAATAATTCAAATTCAAATTCAAATTCAAATTCAAATAAACGATCAGCAAGAGATAGTATTGATCAACAACAACAAGAGATATCAGAGGCAACGAAAAAAAATAAACGTGCAAATGATTTTGGTTATGGACGTGGACTTGAAATTGAAAAAATCCTTGGAGCAACCGATGTATATGGCGAATTAATGTTTTTGTAAGAATCAAATATAAAATTGAACAAAAGATAAATTTTTTTTTCTATTTAGAATTAAATGGCAATCAACAGACAAACCTGAATTGGTACCAGCTAGAATTGGTAGGGATCTATTGAATATGTTATATCTAAGAAATTCTTTTTTTGTTTTTTATAGCTAATGTTAAAAGTCCTCAACATGTTATTCGTTTTTATGAAGATCGTCTGACATGGGCTAATACAGATGAAAATTCATCAATTAATCAAGAAAAATAATCGAACATTCTTCAAATTTTGTTCGCAATAACGTTTTATTTTTTCCTTTTTTTATTGCGAACTTTTGTGATATAAATTTTGGGTTTTTTAGGTTCTTGTTAAGTATATATATGTATTCATATATGTGTATTTTAACACGCGTTTATATATGTATGATTTAAATATTATATCATTTCTATATATTTGTTGTTTGTCTTGTTTAATGATAGTTGAAAATGCGACTATAAAATCAATAAAAAAAAATTTTCAATCATATCTGTTTTTGCTTTGTTTAGTGAATTCTTACATCCGACCATTCTCATTCGTTTGTATTGATCTGAGTTTATGCATTCGTTTATTTGTAATTGACGTAGATTTTTATTATGTAGTCTAACATCATGAATGTTTTATGATTTATGTATTGTTTTCTTCTTATGTTTTGTAATAAATTAAATATATTCCATGTGTTGTAGAAAAAAAATTGTATTTTTTATAAAATATCGTGATGAAAAGTGTATTTCGAACATGTACATATACGAAATGTTCTTATGATATACTATCCTCTATATTTTGCGATGATAAATGGCCTAGAAATGACACAACGAATATATTTACTAGGATACATACAGGACAACAAGTGAAAATATTATCATTATGTTACCTGTTGGTTTGTCATAGCCTATACATCATTAATCTACTACTTTCACTTAAAAACATAAGATTAAATATAAGCATGGGCGATCAATGAATACTAGATGGCAAGTAAAATAAATCCTTTTATTTGAAATAATATTCCAAAAGTGAATTATTTTACTAATCGATTAAATTTACATTTTATTCATATGAAAACTAACGAAAGACACGACTGATTACATCGACAGTACTTTCATATGAAAGACATGTGACAAAAAAAAGCACTTATGTTCAATATTAAAAAGAGAAAAAGTGCTTAATGACTTTTGTTATGCAAATATGAAACTGTTCAATATATCTGATATTGACAAATGTGTCATAAATTACATCACATAGTTTGTCAATAATAGAACAAATATAGAGAGGACATTTTCTTTTAATAATTTCATTAAGTTAAACAAATAATAATGATTAAGATTCTTTTCTAACAAATTTTATCAAAAAAAAATCATTAAAAATATTTTTTAACATAACAACTACATACAATTCATATCTCATTCGAATATAATTATACGTAATTCAATCCTTTCTATTTGTGTCCGACGTTCATTATAGAGTGTCTATTCTTTTCTCATTTATCATTTGTCTCATGATATTTTCAATTAAATAATGATCACAATGTTGCAACCACCTATAAAAAAAAATGATATATACTTCAAAATAAGAAAAATATATATGCATGCCTTTAGAAAAAATCGAGTAAGTGCTACTCGACATGAGGATTTTCAAGCATGCCAAGTATTCACTTTAATTAATTGGCAAAGAAATAGAGAGTATGCTTCAATCGAACAAATATTTATCTCATCTTTAATAAACAACAAAGAAAAGAAAAAAGAATAATTTTGTTTCTTTAATATTATAATAACATATTACAAGTTTTATTTCTATTCTATTTGAATGATATTTATTGATCATTTATTTTTCTATTGTTTTTATATATAAAGTTTTCTTTCGCGCAGTAGTCTGCTATATAAAAAGCAGAAAGAATTTAATTTTTTTTTTCAATTTTTTAAAGATTAACTATAGAGAACAAAATAAAGGCAGAAGAACAACAACAATCAACAGTTTTTTCTTATACACTACTGTCGGCGCTATTGTAACTGCAAATAAAGAAAATTCAAGTTTTATTTTTTGCTGTTTGTCTGACTCGTACAAACGCGCGCATACATACACACACAGATACAAATAGTAATAATAACAATAAGAAGTAGTGAGGGAGAGAGAGAAAGGAAAGGAGAAAAAAAATAAGCTCGAGGGATGAACATATTCATTCGACTGAATTGAATTAATAGAGAAAAGAGAAGAGAAAAAAATACAAACCGCGTAAGTACAAGCCACAAAAAAAATAAAGAAAATTGCATATGAGAGAGAGAGAAAGAAAGAAGAACAATGTTCATAATTTTGTATTTAATGAAGACGATTTTGGTTACTTTTAGCAGCCAAAATTCGATCTATCATACTTTTAGCATATTTTATACGTGTAAACAATTGTTTTGAACAACCACATTGTTCTAATGCTGGTAAACGATATGTACGAATTTCTCGATGTTCATTTATATAAGTAACAGCACTCATTAATGGACATAAAATAACTTTTGTATGATCTTGGAAGAAGTTAATCTAGAAAATAAAAGAAAGAATTTATGTTTTTATTAATAATTAAATTTTTCAAACCTGTAATGTTCCATTGGATAGATAGAAAACAATAGCATTACGTGTACGAAACCAAGATTTTACAAATGGAAGTCGAGAAAGTTCATCTCCAGGTCTTGGAGCATGTGCAGCACCGGCCTTCAAAGGAAAACGAATATCAAGAATAAATATTTATCAATAAGATTTTTATAAATCTTACCTTAAGTAAATGTTCGTCCATATAAGATGTAAAATACTAAATAAATTAAAAAAGAGAGTCAATATGAAAAACAAATATATATATATGTTAGATATTTTACTTTAAGCAAAGTAACTTTCTTTTTCAATTGATCTGAATAATCTTTCATTGTACATAAATGTTCAAAACCTTCTCGATCAATATATTGAAGATTTTCAGCACCACCAGCTGTCATAATTAAACGTGTTGAATCATTAAATAAAACTCCAACGGAATCATCACATAATTGATAACCTAAACCATATTTATCTGAATAATCAACCCATTTCGATATCCAAAGCATTGGTGCTGATGCTGGATCTTCTGCTTCATCTTCACGTTTATCAACTTTTTCATTAGGTTTTAGTTGTATTAAATGTTCTAATTGTCTTTGAAGATCAACAGCTAAATGAAGATCATCATTGATTTCTTCATTTGTAGCACCAGCTTGAACAAATCCACCACCATCAAGACCAGTTAATTGTCGAGCCATTTGAGATGAAAGTGCAAGATCTGTTTGATTAGGTGCTGTTGCAGATATTGGACGGCCAACACCATGTACATCATTTGGACGTTCATTCATTAATATTGGTGTTGGTAATGTAATAACTTGTTGATGACGTGATGCTATTAATGCTTGTTCATTTTGTTGTTGTTCAGTAAATGGACGACGTTGTTGTTGTTGAATTGATGATGTTATTGGATTTTGTGTTGTTGTTTTACCGGCATTTAAAACTGGTGGTTGTTGTGCTTGATTTAATGGCACCATAACTGAATAACGTGGTGCAACTGTACAAACAGATGTTGGTAATGTTGCTGGAATAAAACCAGAAAAAAATGTGTCCATATAGATTTGTTGCATTGTTGGACGATCGTATGGTTCATGTCTTAAACAACGTTGAATAAGAAGAACAACTTCACGACTGATACGATTTTCTGGTATTAAATAATCATTTTTACGGATTTTTGAATATGTATCTTTTAATGATGAAGTTTCAAATGGTGGTTTACCAAGTAAAAGTGTATAAAGAATACAACCTAAACTCCATACATCAACTTCATAACTATGACCTAAACAAACATAGATAATTATGACCATAATTGAGAATTTTAAATGTAGATTTTACCTTTCTTATTGATTACTTCAGGTGCAACTATAGAATAAAACAAAATAGTTAGTTTTAATTAGTTAAAAAAAGATAAAACTTACTATAGTTAGGAGTACCACAAAGTGTTCTAAAATAAATAAGAAAATGATTGATTTATTAATTTATGACAATAACCTATCGAATAGATTCTTTCGCCCATCTTATCCAAAATATGCATTATTTTATATATTCAAATTAACAAATTAAGATAGAAAGTTAGCAGGACCCTTCTCTTATCTTCATCCATCAACAAAGCAAGATATGATAAAACAAAGTCATGCTAGACATAGTTGGAGTAGCGTCTCATATCTCGCATAGAGAGCTCTTGACGAGACAGAAACAGCGAACCCTAATCTATGAAAGTCAATAGGACCGCAGATAATAATGCTAATTTAAGGCAATCTAATTTCAGCGAAAATATTTAAATTTTGATAGTGATACACTACTAATGAGTAAATCGAACCGTTGACTTCGGTTTTTATTGGCTGTATAATTACATTCATTATACATATCTGTGTACTCAATGCCCTTTAAATGTCAGGTCAATGACGAATAAATACATATATATAGTTAAGTGTAATTGATAACGTCTACTATCCGCGTACTCATAATGTCAGTTAATCGTTATGCGAATTATCAATGAGTAGTTTATTTATAATGCATATCTCTATTCAAGTATCTTTGTGCCGGATTAGTAAATTCGATAAAAACTCTAAGTTTTATTAAACGAATCTAAATTGAATTTTCTGACACTAAAACAATAGTATTGTATATAATTATCTTTTGCTATTTACCTTTTTCGATCACTTTCACTTTCAACTCGAGTTGCTAAACCAAAATCACCAATTTTTATTTCCATTTGATCATTAAGAAATAAATTGCCCAATTTAAGATCACGATGAATAATGCGTTTTTCATGTAAATAAATACATGCTTCAACAATCTGTTTAACAAAATAACGTGTTTCAGGTTCAGTAACTGTTTTACGTCGTCGATGTAATTCCATCAATGACTAAACAAATTAAATTTAGAATTCTATGAAAAACAAAAAAATTTAGTTTTACTCGTCGTCGACAAAGTTCAAGGATAATATAAACATTATTTTCATCTTCGAAATATGAAAAAAACTGAACAATATGTTTATGATTAAGTGATTGATGAATGGTCACTTCTTGTTGCATCTAATTAAAATAGATAAATAAACTCAATTAGCACTGATTATTATTATTATTATTATACATACTTTTTCTTTTTGATGCGGTTTAACAAGCATTGATTTAGGTACAACTTTGCCAGCAAATGTTTGGCCTGTAGTAGTATCGATTAATTCATAGCATCGAGCGAAACCACCCTTGAAATAATAAAATATATACATATACATATTAAGATAAGAAAGAAAATAAATTTACTTTTCCAAGAAATTTTCCCTTGGAATATTGAGTACGCGTTCGTGGATCCATAATAACATTGGGAATGTTAAATTCATCTTTTGTTGTGTCCATATTTTTTCTTCTCTTTTAAAACTATATGCAATTTAATAATCAAGTATATATATATATATATTCGTTTATATATCTGTGTGTATATGCGGTCAGAGTTATTATTATTAGTGCTCGTGAAAGAGAAGCGGTATGGTCATCTAGAATGGTAATGTATAACTGTATGACTAGTATGCTTGTTAGACGTGCAATGATTATTTTCGTCGGAAAGAAAGAAAGACACTTGCCGGCAGACAAATATATCAACCAATGGCTCTCATGTATATATGTAGACATGTGAATGATATGTAATGCACTTCGAAACAGTTCGAAATTTAATTTTCTCTATCATGGTATTGTTATATTCAACGTGCGTCGTTATTCTGTTTCTTCTTATTTATTTTTTTTTGTCGATTTTGTTGACCTCGATATGAGGATAGAACCTCATAGATAAAATAACTCTTTTAAAAATTTTGTAAACAAGTCTTTGTTTATGAGAAGACCAATGAATCATGATTTTAAAATTTATTGTTTCAATATATAATAAGTGTCGCTATTGCGCCTTATGATCAACAAGAATTCGGATAACTTGAATAAAAAAAACACATGATTTATTATATTTTAGTGTTATTTAAAACGACAACAGTTATACACATATATGATAGAGATTTCATATGTTAGTATTATAATTCTTCGATTAATTTTCGAGTTGTTGATGGTTGTGTAATGGAAGGTTCTTGGAGTTTATCTGTAAAAGAAAAAAGAAATTAAATGCTATTCGATATAAAAAACATTTGACATTTACCAGTTGATGGAGTATCTTCATCAATATCATCCATATCAATAATTTTCAATCTTACTGGTTTTTCATTTGTATCTTTATTAGATTCTAAAATAATGAAAAAAGTTGTGTATAGGATTATAGGATAGTTAATATTTGCTTACTTTGATTTCCTCCGAATATAGTATCAAATGACGAACGATCCACGACATTTTGTAATGGTGGTCGAATAAATGGAATATCTGATAAATAGAAATAGTACACGTGATATTTGATCAATGAAAATGTTTTTAAATGTTAAAACATACCTATATCATCTTCCTTTGGCTTCTCAATTACCACTGTATTTATAACTGGTTCAGTTGTTTCCTTTTTCTCTTCATTTTCAATTCCTTTTTCAGTTTTCTCTTCATCTCCTTTTTCACTTTCCTTTTGAGTCCCTTCTTCGATTTTCTTTTCAATTTCATTTTCAATTCCTTTTTCAATGACCGTTTCAGTTTCGTTTTCAATTGCTTTTTCAGGTTCCTTTTCAATTTCTTTTTCAACTTTATTTTCAATTCCATTTCCATTTTCATTTTCATTTCCATCTTCATCTTCATCTTCGTTTTCTTCTTCATCGTCTGCTTCTGAGTCGTCAATATCTTCAAGTGGAGGTGGTTCATCTTCATTGTTTACTACTTCTGTTTCTTCGTTAGTTGTTTCTCCTTCTCCTCTTAATTCATTTTCACTTTGTTGTATATCAACTTCATTTTCACCACGATTGCCCAAATAATATCGACGAATAAGCATTAAATCTATAAAATATATATATATATCCATCATTATTTTATCTATTTTGATTAAGAAATAGAATAATAATTACCATCAGCAGGTTTTGCACTACGTTTTCGTTCAGATGTTTCCCATAATTGACGTTCTTCACGTTCAGCTTCACGACCACCACGAGCCCTGATTTAAAATAGAATTAAATTTATGATTAATCTATTATTTAATCTTACCATGCATCGGCACATGCTCGATCTCTTGGAAAGACTGGTCGATCATCCAAATAAGTCAAATTAGCCTATACAAAAAATTTAATAGAATAAAAAAAAGACAATCTTCTGTACTTTTGCGTAATGTAAATCTATTTTTACTATAGCTTTCTAGTAATTGTCAAAAGTATATTTCTTTACATTATACGCATAAATGTCACTGTTATTGAGTATTGTGTAAACATGTTGATATATCTTACATAGATTACACTTAAACTAAATACAGTATTACTAAAAAATCATTAGAAGAGTTATTAAGCGCAAAAGATAATAATTGTAACATTACGAATCTTTTTTTGTAAAACATATAGGATTTCTATAATAAAGTTTGATCATCTAAGTCTAAAATGTATATCAAAGAGACTTGTCTTTCGTGATCTAAAAGTACCCCTTGGTATGCTCGATCCGTGTGGTAAAAATCATAGCTCTGTCAAGTTATGTAATTCTCTAGAATAGTTCTTTCTCCAAGCATTCTATGCGCGATAAAGCAAAGTCTATATTGATTGAAAATGAAACGATGAAAAACAAGATTTCGTCATAGTTTTGCATATTCTAATTTCCACGCAAAAAGATTTAACTCAGAAATGAGATAAACTCCATAATACTTCAGTTATATAAAATTCTTAGTTGAATAACTTACACATCCAAGTGTCATTGTTCGTCGATAATCTTTAATATTTTTTAATACTGAATTACCCATGAGATTAATTACACGCTAAATCAAAAACATACATATTAAACAGCCAAAAATTCTCGAAATAATTTACTATATTTTGCATTTGACTAAAAACATCTGCAGCATCAGCATCTTCAATATTATTATGTGATAAATCCAGAACACTTAAAGTTTTACATTCTTTTAAATGTTCAATATCTTGAACTGATTCAAGTTTATTATGTGATAAATAAAGTGAATTTAATTTTGGTAACATTGCTAGAAAAAATAAAAATATTCGATATCAATATATAGTTTTCATTATCTTACATAAATTTTCAATTTTTGTTATATAATTATTTGATAAATTAATTGTATCTAAATGTTGTAAATGACTTAAATTTTCAATTTTACTTATTAAATTTTGATGCAAATAAAGGCAACGTAATTCGATTTGTTGATCAAGATTTTCAATACGTTGTATACCATTTGATTCAAGCCAAAGACATTTTAAACCAACATATTCTTCTAAATTTTCAATTTTACCAAAACCTTTAAAATGTAAATAAAGAACATCATTTAAATAAGGTGTTTGATATAGTTTATGTTGTTTGCAATGTTTTTTAATGAATTCTTTTGTCATTCGTGGATAACGATTTTCATCTCGTTTTATTATTTCTTCAGGTTTAGTTGATGGTGTTAATTTAGCTGGAACAAGCATTTTGTCAACAGCAGTTTCAATCATTTCGGAGGGCATTTTTCGAAAGTACAAATGACGATGAAGAATTTATATGAAGAAAATAAATCGAGAGTTTTGGAGAATAGTTACCATTATGATTAATGATGTTGTTTGGTTACTAAGGAGAGAAAACATTAGGATGTTCTCATGACTATTTTTAATTTAAATTTTCAATAAAATTAGAATTTATTTAATGAAAACTTTAATTGTATTTATAATGATTAATGTAATATTTTGAAATAGAGAGCGCTGTTTCGTATTAGAACGTTTTTTACTGGGTAAAGAGAACACACCAATCATTTTTCTTATATTTTGAAAGGAGTAATTATGATATTTTTGATGAAAGTTTTATAAACAACCCATTTGGCCAATCATTTATATTAAACGAATAATATGCAAATTTATCATTCGTAAATATGACAAGAAAGTTATTATTTATCAATCAATATCATTTATACATACTCAATGAAATGAAACAAGTAGTGAGATGAAAATAGAATGGTTAGTACTTCCGTATTTTACTGAATTAAATTTTATAATAACAAATTTTTGTTTAGTTAATTAATAAGTGAATGAATGATGCATTATCTTGGAATTATATTTCATGTCGATGAATAATAATTTACAGAAATGTTTACTTTTGAAGTGAGTTGAAAAAATGAACCTAGAATAAGATAGGATTCAAATCTTTTTTTCTCAATGAAGATGATATCGAATATTGACTTTCAATTAATGTAACTGTTCTGGGTACAAGATGTTTATTAGATATGAGTTTTATGTGATGTTACAAACTGATTTATATCATAAATATCAGATAACCTTTGTTTAGTTCATATTTTAACTAACTTTGTAGAGTTGGGGTCGCGTGATGTCAAAACCTGAGTGCTTTTTTTTATGTAGATTTCAAGTATACATCATCTATTTCTAGGAAAAAATGAATCGTTCTATACAAATTATGCTTAATATAGAGTCGAATATAGGTTATAATACTGTTAAGGTGTAACATTTGTTTGTTACAGAGATTATTTTATTTTTAAGTCGATTCAAAAACATTTTTGTTTTTGTATATTTCTAGTTTATGTAATTAAACATAAGAAAACGCAAGAAATTTACAAGAAGAATTCATGTTTAAATGAAAAGCCGATATGTTACAGACGACAATATTAGCATACAATGTGTACAAAAGGTACTAACTGACTTTTTATTCTTCTTGTTGAACTAGGTCGTTCTCTTTTTTTTGTTTTGTTCGTCTTTTGTTCTACTAATCTGCCAGAAAGAGAAGTTAGAGAAAAGACAATGAAAGATTGTGGTCATTATTCTTCATATGTAGAACAAAAAAAAGGAGGGAAAGAAAAAAAGAAATTAGAGCAAGTTTTTATTCTGGCCTCAACTTTGCTTCTTTTCTCTTGATAATGTGTATGTGTGCGAGTATGTTTATATGTGATGTTATATCCATTCATTGATCGCGCACAAGCATATATATATATATATGTATATACATATATATATATATACGATTGAACTGTTACGCGAAAAGGAATGGAAAGGAAAGAGAAGACTGACTGCTTGCACTCTTTCTTTTCTCTTTGCGTATGTATATATTTGAGCAGCTCCAAGGCCACTTTGACGTGAGCAACGAACGACGAGTAAAAATGAACGGGCAGAGAAAAGAAGAGAAAAAAAAGAAAAGGTAATACGAACGAGCAAAGAACCCTTGCACATACATATCGATCGGGCACACTGTTCTGACTATTGTTGATCATTGGGCATTATCGCAAGAACAGAACACACGTACATATTCATCGAGATAATCACAACTACAGCTGTCACTTCTATAAAATGATGACGCTGATCGGCTAATCGTATCTATATATGATGGTGAAATTCTATTTTGTTTATATAATAACTATTTTGAATAAATAAATGTATGGAACTTTTTGGCCAAATGACCTTGCATCAACGTCTAGGCCGTTGGTGAGTTTATTTGATTAGTTTTGGCACGTATTTATTCCCTCGAAATGGAAATAAGGAAATCAAAAAACAAGAAATATTAATAGTACTAATATTCATCTAGTTTCTTTTTTTTATATTATATATATATAATATGGAATCGATAGAACAGGTGATAAAAAATCCTCGATTATTTGTTCTTTCTATTATTCTATATATATATTATTTTTATTTTTTAGACTTCATCACATCCCAAACGAAAAATAGGTAGTAATGATGATCGTGAACATTTTTATTCATTTGATATAGAAGATGATCAAACAACAAAATCATTTTGTTGTCGTTCACCAACATCAACAATCAATTTAAATAATAATAATAATAATAATAACAATAATTCATTAACAAATTATCAACAAACAACGAAAATTATTCAAGAATTTAATATTCAACAATCAACAGCAAGTGATATAACAGTTAGTTCAACAATAAATATAAAATCAACACCAAAACAACAACAACCGACAAAAATTTCTAATACTGATTTATTAAGTGAAGCTGATTTTCAACGTGTCGTACAAGATATAACACCAGCAGATCGAGATTTATTTGATGAATTCCTTAATGGAATAAAACAAAAAACTGATGATTATTTATTTTTATCATCATTTGACGATCTACCTTCATCATCAACATCATCGTCTCATGAACAAGATTCAATCGCACGACGACATTCATCATTATCTGTACCATCACAAACATCTTCAATATCATCACCAGATCGACGTAGAAATTCAATGCCACGTGGTTCAAGTACAATTCATTATAGTCCACATTCAATGCCAATATCAAATCGACCACCAACCGCAGCTGCACAAACACTAAAACAAATGGCTGTTCAACATCAACAAAGAATTATGTATAATCAACAACAACAACAACAACAACAGCAACAACAAACAAATTCCTCCTCATCCACACCATCATATTCAAATTTTCCATATAATAATTCAACGAGACAATATTATCAACAATCACAAATACCTTCAGAATGTGATACTTCTATAGATCCCGTAAGTAATAAAAATGAATATACATACAAGAAAAATAATTCGAAATTGTTTAAGAATTCATACTATCAGCCTATGTGTTATCCACCTGTTCAACAAACAACTGTATCTGGTTATAATCATCATTCCCAACAACGCTCAAATATTTATGGTATACAAAATTATTCTTATCAAACTTCATCATCATTCTATCAACAACAACAACAGCAACAACAGCAGCAGCAGCAACAACAACAAATACCTACATCTTCTCATTCAATTACGAATTATTCACCGTCAAACGGTCTTCCATCAACTACTACTATTCTTCCTTTTTATTCTCAAGAAGATAATCTTCCTACTCTTGATTTGTAATATATACATATATATATATTTCTATATGTTCTTCAAACGAAAAGAAAAAAACAAATTATGTCAGATTTTTCTCTTTGTCTGGTCAACATTTATGCGTGCATCTTTCGAAAACAAAAAACAAACAAACCAAGTTCAGATATTTTTCCTTTATTGCATGTTTTGTTTTTACACACACAAACTCTCTCTCGCTCGATTTCTCTTCTTTCTTTATTTTGTACAAAACAGTGATAGTTCCTTCACATCTACACTATCTTACTGTGTGCAATAGAACAATATTTAAAACAAAAAAAAATAAGACATAATGTATGGCATTTATATTAAAATAAAAATATCTGAAAGAATGCAAAGAACTTTGTACTTTAAAAATGTTTTTCTTATTTCTTATTTGAATATTTTAGTATCATAAATGAAATAAAGATAAATAGATAAATTATATTAGTTTGAAAGCATTTATTTTAATATTGATAAATTATGAGACAACAACGTGATTCCGAACTTGAGATGGAATTAATTCCACGACAAACATCAAATGGAGTTGATTCATCATCACTCGTATCATCATCATCAACAATATCTTCGTCATCATCATCATCGACCAAATCATCATTTAATCTCATGAGTAAAAATCAAATCAGCTTAAAAATGATTATATCCTATTTTTCATATTCTTTTAGATAGTTCTTTGACTGTATGGTTTATTCCATTATTATTTGCATTAGCTACTATTTATATGTATATTTTATCGACAAATGCGCCACCATTAAGTACAGACCAGGACAGGTAAATTACTTCCTATGAAAATAGTGACATATAATCCAAAATGAAATCTAGAATTCGTACCCGACTTGAGATTAAATTTATTAATTATTCTTAGTTTCTAGTCTAAATTGCACTCTTAATGTCAAGCTGTGATTGGATTTTACCTCTTATTGAAATCTGTCAGATTGAATTAAGTAATAAAATATCTTTTATTATTATTTAGAGCTTCTCTTCATTTTCCACGAAGTATTGATTCTTTAAAAAATTTATCAGCCACATTACAACACTATCGTGATGATCATCTTGCTTATCTTCTATTACTTTATTGTTCGGCGTATTTATACAAACAATCTTTTTCATTACCAGGCTCAGCTATTCTGGTATAGATTATTTTTTTTGTCTTCATAATGAATTTTTTGTTGTATTCTAATAGAATTTACTTGGTGGTGCTTTATTTGGTACATGGTTTGGTTTTCCGCTTTGTTGTTTATTAACAGCAACGGGTGCTCTCTTATGTTATTTACTTGTAGCTAATTTTGCTCGTAATTTAGTTGTTCAATGTTGTTATAAAAAAATTGTTTTATTACAAAAGAAGGTAAAATTATTTGATATAAAAATGATTTTTGATCTTTTTTTATTATTATTAAAAGGTTGAAGCTGGTCGAGATAATCTTTTTTTTGTTTTACTTTTTATGCGAATGGTACCTATGAGTCCTAATGCACTTATAACAATGACATGTCCAATATTAAATGTGCCAAAAAAAATATTTTACTTTTCAATTCTCTTCGGTAAGTCAGAAAAAATAAAATTCAAAATATTGAAATTTATTTCTATATAATTATTTTTAGGTATGGCTCCATATAATTTTATAACAGTACAAACTGGTTCATTTCTTTCACAATTAAATAGTTTTGATGATTTATTTACATGGCGAACATTGCTTACACTTGGCCTTATAGCTTCAGTAGCTGGTTGCACTGGTTTAATTGTTGCACGTGTACGACGAAAAATTCCACAAACAGTGATATAATAAACTATTTAATTATGCCAAATATTTCTAGTCTCGCTTTGTTTTTTTATTATTAATAAATAAATTAAAAAAATATATAAAAATTAATCTTCATTTTTCCAAATAGTTATGATTACTTTTCAGTGGTTTATCCAGCGGGGAGGGGGAGGGGGAGGGGGAGCACGGGGCTTTTTTTGCCCCCTCGGAATTCAGAAAAATTACACTTTTTGAGTCTAAAACTCTACGTTTGCTCCACCAGAAGAGAGATTTTTGCCCTTCCCGCAGTTAATTTCGCACTTTCGGACGAAAAAAAGCTTGATAAAACACTGTTACTTTTCATAAGGATAATTTTGGTTAAACAAGCATATATGTCATGTATCTATCTCGTATTACATTTAACGCTTTTTTTTATTTGACTGGCTACGGACGACTGACTCGCTGTAATGTATCTCATAACATATACACATATTTTTTCGCTTCTTTCTTTTTTTTGCCACTCCTGACCTTATTTTAATTAGCATGTGTTATTTTGTTTCTCAATGTTGTCAATAGATTGGATAAAATGTGTTATTATTACTTTCTTTTAATTTAGTATATTGTCATGAATAACTTTTGAAAATTACAAAAGAAAGTGTACACATTTTCTTTATTTTATTCTTAATTTTTTTATAATTAAACAACATTACATATATATATATATATATATATGGATAAAGTCCTTCAACGTGCGAAAGGCATATTTAAGAGGAATCCTAAGTGAGTGATAAATGAAGGTTTTTCTTTATCATATTATATACGTATATAAATACCTAACATATATTTAGCCCTCGACAATTACCTCCTGGCTCATTTCCTAAGGCAAACGCTGATCGACAAGCACCAGGGACTATTACAAAACCACCAGATCAAACGGTAAAAGAAATTTGATCAATATATAACTTCGATTAAACATTATAATTATTTTTCAAGGATGAAGATGATGACGAAGAACTTCAAAGTTTGAAAAATTATAATGTTCCACAACAAACTCAATTGAGAGGACCCGTAAAATGATTCTTATTTAATATAAATTTTATTATTCTATTCTTTTCTAATAGCCAAACACTACTGTGCCATCACGCGATACTAGTAACCGAAGTGGGAATACATACAATAGTGCTTCACCTCTTCCATCTAATTCATCAGGTCCTCCTATTATTCCATTTCGTGGTACATCAAGTGGTTTTGCACCCGATTTACCATATAACAGTACTCCTAACAATATGAATTCTACATCTAATCCTGGAACAGGAGGAGGCTTACCTTTTCTTCCACAAATTCAAGATGCTTCTTCTCGAACACCACTAAATGATAGAGGTCCTCCAAGAAATAATCCTCCACCAGAAAGAAATAACCCTCCCCCACAACGAAATAATATGCCTCCTCCTCCAACAAATAATCCTCCGCCACAACGAAATAATATGCCTCCTCCTCCTCCAACAAATAATACTCCACCACCATCCAACAATTTTCCACCCGATAGGAATAACAATCCATCAATAACTTCACCACCAAATAATTCTCGATCTCCGTTGGATATTTTTCGAACTGGAATGAACTTAAATCCAACTTCACCACCTTCAGGAGCAAGAAATTTGGATCCATCTTCAGCTAATTCTCAGCCAGGTATGAATACACGACGACCTTCAATGAATGATTCAAATAATTTCAAGAATAACCAACAAAGAAACCGTCCAGCATCACGTTCATCATCATATCGATATGACGAAAATAATAATTATAATAATGCTGATGATAATGTATCTCGTCTTGAACTTGATTATCCAATTGAAAATGTTCTAATTGATGCTAATATTCCTTCGGCAATTGCTGTTAAAATCAATGATGCTGTCGAACGAGATCGTTTTGGTAATACTCATCATGTTCATCGTTATACATATGAACCATCATCACAACAAATGTCTTTTAATAATAATAATAATCAACATAAAGATCGACATGCAAATGATAATTCTCATCATGGTGGTACTAGACATATACGTGAAATTCATAATAATAATCAAAATCCATTATATAATGATATCAATCCACAATCATCACATAATCATCATCATCATCACCGTGATCATCATAATCATCATCATCAGCGACGGCGACGTAGTTATTCTGATATGCCAATAGATCAATATGTTGATGAACTTCTTCGTACACCAGGCAGTACTGTTATTCATGCTAAAGATTCTGATGATATACAACGAATACTTAATCAACATCTATCAAAAACTCAGAACGCATCTACACAACCATTTCTAGATTTATTTCAACCAAATAATCAAACAATACCTTCACAACCATCAATAAATCCGTTTCAATTAAACAATCCAATAATACCTTTACAAACATCAACAAATTCGTTTCAACCAAGTAATACTACTGCACCAGCACCTGTTTTTTACTATACAGCACAAGCTTTACCGAACGATCCAATGCGAGCATATTAAAATATAATAAAGAAAAAATTTTTTTTTATTAGTTGAATAAAATAATTAGAAAAAAAATATTGATTGTTTCGAATAGAAAAGAATTTTACTTGGCATAGTTATTGATAAAAAACACATCCGATAACGATAAATATTTATATAAAGTTAATCACAATAAAATTCACGAAAGAAAATACTAGAAAATGGGACAACGGAAGTATAAAACTACTATGAGTGATGTTATACACTTAACTAAATATATAAGCTTAAAAATCCTATGTCTGAAGATAAGCGCCATCTGTGTTAATTCTCTTAATTTCTATTTGTTTATTAGAGAAAACAAATCGAATAAGGATTCTATTCTACTATTGTATAAATATATTCTACCTTCAATATTTCGTTTTAAAACCATATTGATCATCTAAAATAGATATGACAACTAATCGTTCAGTACCAATTGTTGTTATATCATCAGAAAATATTCCTAATAAAATTCGTAATATCGATGATATTGAATATGAAGTCTCTCAAACTTTTCTTCCACTTAGTAAGTATTCAATAAGACATAACTTATAAATTAAAAAACGTTCGTTTTATTAGAATCAACACCATCACGAAAAAGTAAAGGTCGATCACTTATTAAATGTAAGTTTTGTCTAGGAAAAACAATCAAATCATTCTGTCTTATTTATTAGATAAAAGTGCTCCACCAATTCCAACAAATAACGATGAAAATAATGAAATAAAAGAAAATGAATTTACACGATTACATGTTATTTCACATATTTTACCTCGATTTCCTGTTCGTCATGGTTCGATAATTAATAATAAAACGAAATTCTTATAAATTTGTTTTTCTTTCAGGTATTCTCAAACAAAAACGAAAATATACATCAAAGAAAAAAATCTTAACGGAAAAAAGTAATTAATCGATTATTTTGTTGCTTTTTTTTACTGCATAAAATTTTCGTTTATAGCTTCAGATAATATTATGCGACCAGAAAATATGGATAAAATTCTTCTTGAACCTAATCTATCAAATGATGATGTAAAGACAAATTTGATTAATTCAGAAAAAAAAAATATTTTATGTATCGATATAATTTAGATTGATACGAAAAAAAAGAAGAAATTTAAAAGTAATTTAATTCAATTAACACCAGATGATTTACATGAAACAGCATTAAAAATTCAAGAAAAATCTTTACATGGAAAAGCTCATGATTATTTAATGATTAATATATTACGTGGAAATGAATTTGATGAATGGTTTCGATATTTAAGGTTTATTTTAATTCAATAGTGATTTAGTTCTCTAATTCTTTGCCTTTTCAGAGCTGGCTTTAATATTCTTCTACATGGTGTTGGTTCAAAAAAATCGCTTGTATCACTTTTCTTTAAGAAATATTTAAAAAATGAATATCTTACATTTATTATCAATGGTTTTATGCCAAATATTACAATTAAACAAGTATATAGATTTATATTATGTTCATTCTAAAAAAACGAAATATTATTCTTTAGGTTTTACAAATTATCTCTTCACATCCAGATATAAATGCAAATACTTTAAATAGTAATGAAGAATCTATACAAGAGATTATTAAAAGAATTGAAGCAAAAAGTAATTTATTGAAATTATTTATCATTTAAAAAATTTTCGTTTTTTTCATTTATTTAGAATTAAATATTTATTTATTAATAAATAATATCGATGGAATGAATTTTCGTAATACGAATGTTCAAAATATATTTAAATTAGCAGCTCAATGTCAATATATTCATATTCTTGCTACTATTGATCATATACATGGACCATTAAGTAAAATATTCGAATCGATTTTTATTTATTTTAATTCATATATTTTTCGTAGTTTGGAATCAACAAAGTTTAACTAGTTTTCGATGGATATGGTATACTGTACATACATGGTAAATTGTTTATTTCTGAGAAAATTGGATATTATTTGATAAATTAGGTTACCTTATATTGATGAAACAACAAATGAAAGACTTAATACAATTCGTTTAAAGACAAGTAAAGAAATCTTTTTTATTGAAACAAAAAAACCCACATAATGAATTTTTAGGTCAATTATCAATAAGTGCTGTTGAACATGTTATTGAAAGTTTAACACCAAATGCTCGACGTATCTTTCGTTTACTTGTGGAAGCATTTTTGGCAAATTGTAATTTAAAAGATTATGAAGGTATAAAGATTGACTATATAAAAATAATCCCCATCAGTTAGAGAGATTTAGTTTTTTCAAAGTTTACGAGAGAAAAAATGTCGGATACTTTGTCATTCGGAATCGAACTAAGAAAATCTATTCTACTGAAATAAAATACAAATCTAATAAACGTCTCGTGAGTTTTTATATGTATTGAAAAAGTGTTTAACAGCAGATATTGATCATGTATTATAGAATTATTTTTGTTTAGGTATGAAATTTACTGAATTATATGAACAATGTAAACGCTCATTTTATGTAAATAATGAACAAAATTTACGTTTACAATTAATTGAATTTATTGATCATCGTCTTATTAAACTTGTTAAAAGTACGAATGATGGACAAGAAATTGTTCGATTACTTATTGTTGAACAAGATATCGTTAAACAATTATTAGATAAACTCAATTGAATCAAGATAAACTAAAAGTCAAGACTTAGATAATTCATGTCAGATAAATATATATATTTTTCTTATGATAAATTTTTTTCTCTATTTGTATCTACATTCAATAAATGATTAAAAAGAAAACAATTTCTTTCTCTTTTTTTTTGTAGATGAAAAATGAATATTGAATTACTTTCTACATTTCAACAGAATTATCCCGAAGAATTCGATGGCACACTTGATTGTGCATCGATGGCTGTTTGTTGTGCTTTTAATAAAGTTGGTAAGTCTTGCCAATACACAAAATTTAAATATATTTATATTTCATACACGAAAAAAGGTTCAATGTTGGCAGTCGGTTGTTCCGATGGTCGACTTGTAATATGGGATTTCTTAACACGTGGTATAGCGAAAATAATCTGTGCAGATTGGTCACCAATATATTGTATATCATGGTCAAAAAAATCTGATTTAATAGCAACATCATCAACAGATAATACTGTTTGTATATGGAATACATCAACAGGCCGTTGTCGTACACGTATATCATGTATACAATCACCTATACTTAAAGTACAATTTCATCCACGAAAATCATCTTATTTACTTATATGTCCAATGAAACATCCACCGATATTAATTGATAATAATGGTAAAAATACAATTGTTACAATTGATGATGAACCAAATGATATTATATCGACATTTGATAGAAAAGGTGAACATATTATACTAGGTAATAGTCGAGGTTTAATGGTTGTTAAAACATTTCCGGATTTAAAAACTATTTCATCATTTCGAATAACAACTGGAACAAATACAAATACTGTATTAAGACATATTGAAATTCCTCGTCGTGGTAAGTACAAACTTTATCTTTGATATCAAAGTTATTCGATAAAAGTATTTCCTAAACAAAATAAATCTTTTATTTTATTTTTTCGTTTAGGTCAATATTGTCTAGTAAATACAAGTGATCGTGTAATTCGTATTTATAATTACAGTGAAATGTTATCATGTGGTATTGGTCGTGATCTTGAACCGAAACAAAAATTACAAGATCTTGTTAATAAATCATTATGGCGTAAATGTTGTTGGTCAGGTGATGGTGAATATATTTGTGGTGCTTCATCTCGACAACATTCTTTATATATTTGGGAAACAGTATCGGGTAATTTAGTTAAAATTTTACATGGTACGAAAGGAGAAACATTAGCTGATGTTTGTTGGCATCCTGTACGTCCAATAATAGCAAGTATATCAACTGGTGTTGTATCAATATGGTCACATTCACAAGTTGAAAATTGGTCAGCATTTGCACCTGATTTTCGTGAACTTGAAGAAAATGTTGAATATCATGAACGTGAATCTGAATTTGATATAAAAGATGAAGATCGCAGTTTAGATGGCTTAGATTATAATGGTTCAATAAATAAACGACAACGTTTAGATACAAATGGAAGTTTAAATAATGAAGATGGTGATGATAATATTGAAATTGATGTTGTTACTGATCAACGTATTGAAGCATTAGTATCAAGTGATGATGATGATATTAATGATCAACTTGTTTATTTACCTGTTGCACCTGATATTGAAGATCCTGAAATTGATTTTCCAATACCAGTAACAAATATACCAAAAGCACGTACAGCAAGTCCATCATTACAGACGCGAGTTGATGCTGATGAGACATTTGATATTCAATTAAAAATTCCGCTTGTTAGTGATGTTCATCCATATTATGGTGGAACAAAACAACCACGATCAACAGTAAATACATTAGTAAATTCTCAAGATTCTGTAAATAATAAACGTGATATTAAAAGTCGTCGTAAAGGACATCACCATCATCATCATCATCATTCTTCTCATCATTCTCATCATTCCCATCATCAACATCCAATTCAACATCAAAACTCTCTTATACATCCAAGTCAAATTGATCAACAGACTATTTTACTACCAAAATCTATTGATGCAGCTGTAGCAACTGTAACAAATAATCAAAAACGACCATTATTAACACAAACATCAGAAATTAAAGGACAACGAGCACGTTCAGCTCGTCTTGAAGGAAAAAAAGCAGCCGCAACATCACCAATTATCCTCAATACACAAACATCCACAATACTAACAACAAATACAGAAGAAATAATTAGTACAGCACGTACTAAACGTAATAGTCATAATACACATTCAACTGATAATGACGCTGATTTTGTACCACATTAAAATATCTAGACATTAATTAATGTTGTTTTTTCTTTCTTTTATTTAGTATTAGACTCTTTTTATCCAAGAGACTATAGTGTGATTTGTTTTTTCTTTCTTTTGCATTGTACAGTTTTGTTTTGTTTTGTTTTGAACGTACAGAAATTGATTTATGTTTAAAAAAAATTATTTGTCTTTTTTTTTAATGTAGGATAGTAACAGATGATTGAACAAAGGGCATATTATTCGATTTATTTTGAATTATAAAATCTATTGATAGAAGAAAAAATATAAACGAATTTACAGTATTATATATGTAAAATTTTCTGATAGCTTTTATGAACAATATATAATCTTTCTTCATCAATAAATTTTATAATTCTATATCGAATCTTAAATATATTGTATAGAAAAATATTTTTTGTTTTTGCTTTGTTTTGATTAATTCTTATGAATATGATTTTAAGAAAGAATCTTTTTCTTTTTTTCTTGAGTTCTGTTGAAAACATGCTTGTCTGGCGACGATTTATTCATACAAGTGTACCTCGATATTTGGCTCAATCAGCTGCTGCATCAAATTCAGCATCGCCATTAAGTATTTTACGAAAGAAAACTGGTTATTCACTATCACATTGTCGAACAGCACTTCAACAATTTAATGATAATTTAGAACAAGTAAATATTTTCAAAGATTGTTCTTCTAAAACTTTTCTTATTTAAGGCAGAAGCATGGCTTCATCAACGTGCACAAGCTGAAGGTTGGAGTCGAGCAACAAAATTACAAAGTCGTGCTGCATCTCAAGGTTTAATTGGTATTATTACAAATACTGATACAGCTGCAATGGTTGAGGTTTGTTGAAATAAAAAAACCCTCATAATTATTTTCTATGGAAACTCTTTTTTTCTGTTTTTAGATTAATTGTGAAACAGATTTCGTAGCTAAAAATGAAAAATTTCAACAACTTGTTTCTCAAGTTGCAAATAGTTTATTATTGAATCAGCAAGAAAAAACCAAAGACAAAGTTTGTAGATTTTTGTATTTTCATGAACTTAATTTTTTCTATTGAATTTCTCCTAGGTATTTTTTGATAAAGATACTCTATCGACATTACCTAGTGTTGATGATCGTTCGAAAACATTAGCTGATATAACAGCTTTATGTGTTGGTACAGTTGGAGAAAATGTCGTTTTACGACGTGGTATTGTTTTTAATACAAAACCTAATCAATTACTATCTAGTTATTGTCATGGACAAGTTAATACTGCTAGTTCGAATTTATGTCGTATGGGAAAATATGGTGCACTTGTTAAATATTCTCAAATTGATTCATCAAATAATGCTTCGGATGTGCGAATATACATACATAAAATTTTAAAAAAAAAAGTAAAATTCTCTATTTAGGATGGAACATCATCTTCTAGTGTATCAACTCGTTCTTATCCATTACGAACTATTTGTCAAGATAATATTGAAAAACCTATTGAATTAAGTACTTATCTTGATAATGAAGATGAAGCTACTCTACTTCATGAATATTTAAATGGATATATTTATGCATTACCATCACGTGAAAGTGTACATGATTTACTTTTAAAAAATATCGGTACACAAATTGAACAACAACAATTAAAAGATGTTCATATTCTTCCTATGGATATTCGTATACAAACACCTGATCCAGTCTATATTTATTATCCAGGTCTATGTCTTAGTAATCAAGCACCAAAAACTGATCAAGCAATAACACGTGAGCCTATTGTTATTATTGAAATCATTACACCAACAACTGAACGTTTAATATTACATGAAAAATCAATAAATTATCAAAGAATACCATCATCAGAAGAAATTATTTATATTTGGCCTAATTTAAAAATAGCTCATGTTGATTTTCGTGATAAACAATCGTCGAAATGGACAAGAAAATATTATAGTCATCAAGATAAAATTCCGTTACCATCATCATTCAATAATGGAGAATTAGTACTTAGTGATATTTTCGATAGTATGGTAAGTTTCAAATTTCATATATACATCATGTGATTATTAAATTTATTTGTCCTGATAAGAAGAGATAAGTTAATTTTAATCGCAATAGTTATAAATTGAATAACCCTCGAAATAGAAGGGTAAAAATCAATTTTATCTTACTATCAAAAAATTGACTTTTGAAGTTTATTTGACTCATAATAATATTTCGTACGACGCAATTGGAGTATCTTTGTTTTTGCATAAGATTTACACCAAAAGGGCATTATGGATTTAGATCCTAGTCACAAGAAATATAGAATATCATATAAGAGGATTATTCATAGTCTACATCATTGTAACTATATTTATGGAAAACAAAATATTTTGTTCTTTTAAGAATAATCAGTTATAAAAGAAGGTACATAATCAAACTAAAACAAGTTGCCTTGCTAAATCTTCGTTTATTCGCTATTAAATCACCGTTGTTGTTACATTCAAGCAATATTGCTCGTAGAAAAGCTAATAATATCGTATATATTATAATTAGGATTAGAATTAACGAAAAAAATATTAGGCCAAATAAATATTTTTGTGTACACCTACTCATATTAATTACATAAACCCCCACATATTTATGTAGCAGATCCACCATAACAATCATTGCGTATCTACACTCCTCCATCATAAGAATAAAAGGATATTAAAAATAAGTACGTCATACAAATACAGACAAAGCATTTGTCAATCCTAAAAATTTAACGAACTAGTCATAATCGACATGCTCCTTTGATTATAAAAGCGATGACTTAAATATTTATATAATCCAGAGAAAAGCAAATTACCTATAAATTATTACAATATGATCAGTCATTTAGTATTATTTACGGCAAAAGACAAATATATATAAAATATATAGGTAATGCAGAAAAAAGCAACGTATTTATGAGTTACTAATAGCCAGCCAATCCTCTCCTCCTAAAAATATCTACATAATGCGGTAGAGAAAATGCACGTGTCAATTAATAAAGCTGAAACAATCATTCGATATCTTCATGTATTCAGCATCGAAAAATGTTTTGATGAAACTAGAAATTCAGTTCCATAAAAATGATAACGAACTTTTGATACTACTCGCATGGTATGAATAACATTTCTTACAGAAAAACAAAGATGAATTCAAGTTATAGAATGAAATTTGTTAGATTTATATCATCAAAATGAATATTCATTATATTTTAATCAAGAAAAATTAATTGAGAATCGTTATTTCTCATATAAATATATATGTAGCAGTGAAAAAAAATCTCTATTTAAGGTGAATTAAGCCGATTTATTGTAAAATCATATTTTTCAAAAAGAACAAAAAGGGAAAAAATATTGAATCATTCATTCACTTGTTGTTAATAGTCCATTTATCGAATAAAATGTAACATGTGCTTCCTTAGTTCGACCTGTTCGTTCATCAAATACACTACAATGACTATACGGTGGTACATAAAGATGTAATGTAACAGCCGTATCCGTATGACTTGGATTTTCTACACGATGTAAACCAATTGAATCATTAATATAAGCAACTTTTCCATCTTTTAATTCCGTACGACTGATAATTTCCATCGGTGTTTCTGTATTTTCACCTCCATCTTTTGGCCATGCATATTTTGTTTCAACTAATGTTCCTTGTATACATTTCATAAAACAATGCGAATTTGTATGATCATGAATAGATGAACCTTGACTTTCAGCCCAACATAGAATCATTAAATTAAATTTGCCATTACCAGCATCAACTAAATTTCGTGTATATTTATTTGGTTGAAATTTTAAAAATGGTGCCCATTCTTTTACATTGCCTTTATAATTATTCATTATTGTATGAACATAATCAATATTAACATCATTTGTAGCAAATGCTTCATAGAGTAATTCTATTAATTCATTCAATGATTTTGGATGAGTTGATAAATGTGCAGTATTATCCACATATTTCTGACGAATTAATTGAATATCATGAATATCATGCATATTTGTATTCAAAAGTGTTTCTGTCATTTTTTTTTTTATTTTTGATACAAATACAAGTTGGGCTATTGTATTTATTGAAGGTGAAAATGAAAGAACGAGATGTACCTTTTCTTTTTTGACGGATTAATCTTTTTCTTTGTTTACATCCGACATATAACCTATAAACACACCCTTTTTTTTCATGTCCTATCTAAATAAAAGATATTCTAATCTGTAATCGAACACAGAAAAAAAGTGAAATTTAATCAATAATATTGACGAACCATAACTAAACTAAAGATAAAGTTCAAGGACAATAATATTTTTCTTTTTCTTTTTTTTTATTCTATAGACAAAACAATTTGGACGTCTACTTGCACAACATATAGTAGCAACACGTTCAAAAACAATTGGTTTACATGAAAAAAAATCACTAGGAAATGATGAAGATCGTTTATTACATCAAAAATGGATGCATACAGATGATAAGAAAAAAACCGTAGAAATATTTCTCAATGAAAATCAACTAAATGTTGATGATTTCGTTCGATTTGAATGTGGAGAAGAAATATAAATGACAATAATTAAATCATTAGGATTATTTTCTTTTTATTTGATAGTATCATGAGTACCTATTCATGTCAAACATCATCATTGTTTAGATAAAAGTTATTATTATATACTTTTTCGAATTAAACATAAAAAATAAATATGTTTTGCTTATCTATTCATTTGATGATTTAGATTATTGTTTTTTTCTAGAAAATAATTATTTTCCTTTTCAATAACATCTATTATCTCTAATTGAATGGATTTTGAAGACGAAGCTAAGAAAGCACGTGAATATTATATGTGTAAGAATTATTATGTTATTAAAATAGTTAAAAAATAAATAAAATATTATTATTTAGATGGTGATTATAGTAAAGGTATAACATTTTATAAATTAGCTATTGATAAACTTCGACGTTATTGTCAAACATTAACGAATACAACGGAGAAAAAACGTGGCACTGAAGTTTGTTTTTTCATTCATTTTGAATAGATTTATACATTTCAATTTCTATTTTTCATAGTGTTTAGCAGAACTTGAACGTGAACTACAATCAACAATAGAACATGAACGAATGACAGGTGAAATTCATGATAATTTATTAGGAAAATATCTTGGCAGTGGGCGAGCTGTTAATAGTGATGCATTTAATGATATGAATGATGGAGATAGATTTTATAATGCAGTTATTGACGAACGTCCAACGCGTGATTTTGGTTTTAATAATAATAGAAATGGTCCATATGGCGCTACTCCGTATGAATAATTATGCGATAAAAATAGAATATAATGGTAAACAAATCATTTTATTTCTTTTTCAGATTTCAAACACCAGCTGCACGTTTTCAAGAAGCTCGTCGTGATGTAAGATCAACAAATAATAATAATACTAATAATGCAAAAGCAAGAAAAATTCCATCAAATGGTTCCGATAATAAACAAAAACAACATGACAATAAACGTGTTAATAATCAACCAAATGCCGGAGTTAGTAAAATAAAAATAAAAATAAAAAACAAAATAAACAAAATATTCATTTTTAGGAAAAAAGATATCAACCTATTGGAACGGAAAAAGATTTAGTTGAAGGATTAGAACGTGATATTGTTCAAAAAGATCCTAATGTTCGATGGTATAATATAATCGAAAATATCCATTTTCTATTCATATCAATTTTCATTGATTATAGGGCGGATGTTGCCGGTTGTATCGCAGCAAAAAAATTATTACAAGAAGCAGTTGTATTACCACTTTATATGCCAGATTTTTTTAAAGGTATTCGTCGGCCATGGAAGGTATAACTTACTGAAATATATAGAAATGATTAATAATAGATATATATTTAAATTAGGGTATTTTATTATTTGGCCCACCTGGTACCGGAAAAACAATGTTAGCTAAAGCAGTTGCAACTGAATGTAAAACAACATTTTTTAATGTTGCTGCAGCAAATTTAACATCAAAATATCATGGTGAAGGTGAAAAACTAGTTCGTTTATTATTTGAATTAGCTAAATTTTACGCACCGTCAACGGTATTTATTGATGAAATTGATTCGTTATGTTCCGCACGTGGCCAATCAAATGAACATGAAGCTAGTCGACGAGCTAAATCAGAATTACTTATTCAAATGGATGGTGTTGCTGGTGCACTTGGTAAGATTTATTTTCTGTTATTTATTTATTTATTTATTTTATGAGAAATTGTTTATAAATAGGAAATGATGATCCATCAAAAATGGTTATGGTACTTGGAGCAACAAATCATCCATGGGATCTTGACGATGCTATGCGTCGACGATTAGAAAAACGTATCTATATTCCATTACCAGATCAAGAAACACGAAAACAATTACTTGAAATAAATTTAAAAGAAGTACCATTAGATACAAATGTTGATTTAAGTTATATAGCGGAAAAACTTGAAGGATATTCCGGATCTGATATAACAAGTGTTTGTCGGTTAGTGTTGAATAAAGAATTTTAATTTAAAAATAATAATAATAATTAATTTAGAGATGCAGCCATGATGCAAATGCGTCGTATTACAGAAAATTTAAGTATGATTGAAATACAAAATATTGCTCAAAATTTAAAAGATCAATTACTATTACCAACAAAAATGGAAGATTTTACCTATGCTATTTCAAAAATCTCATCATCAGTTTCAAAAGAAATGCTTGAAAAATATGATAAATGGATGAAAGATTTTGGTTCAGTGTAATTTTACAATCTCTTATTCTCTTTTTTCTTTTACACATCTATATCTCTGTTTTTCCTTCTCTATCAATGTCAGTTATTGAATGTTATTGTTCTTCTCTCTCTTTTGACATATATAGCAGTGCTGATAAGATTTCATATATACTGTGGAATAAATAAATAAATAAATGAATATATATATATATACGAGTGAATTGCAATACTGTCTAGTACAATTGATGCATATACTCGATAGTAGATCTTCATAGCAAAAATTTTCCGATATTGCACTATATATTAATTGAGATACGATGTGATAATTTTTTATTGGTAATTCAACTGTGACAAACGTAAGTTTAAATGAAAACAAGCAAATCTCTGAAGAACTATCAAGTAAGTAAAACTCTTTTTTTGCTTTTCGAATTATAGTATTTTCAGTAGATGGATATAGAAAAGACATATTATTCGAAAAAAAAGAACATTCGAGAGCGTGACTAACAAACTACTTGCTAATCTATTTTTTATTACCCTTAATACTTACATATGTTTGTTATCGAAACAAATTTTTCGAGAAAATATGACTTTATTTTTGACACTAAGATATTTAAAAAGATATAATCATTAATAAAGGTATTGAAAACGATTTTTTAAAATATAATATAAATTTTAACCGCATTGCACAGTTATGATTCATTTGTATGCGTATAAAAGCATGACTACAAGCATATTAACCTTTACACTTTTTAATTTTAAGAATTTCAATCAGAGGAAGTTTTTCAAATAGTTTATACGTATTTTTTCTGTCACGTCAGATATATTTCGTATAATTGCATAGACAGTATGCACACTGCGGCTAGTTTATACAATTATCTTGATACGCTTGGATGGTGCCCAATCTGGTACACATATATATATGCATGCATATATAACATTTACCTCCATTTGTGCAATGCACACACACATGTTTGTATTACTATGCTTCTATCAAGTGTTTTTTTAGCGTCCTTTTTTTCTTTCTATTGAATATGTATATGATTTCCACATCGAAGATATATGTCTTTGACTTGTATTGATAGATCTCAAGAGAGTGTAATCTAGTTGTTGGTATTAGTATTGGTAGTAGAGGCGAGTATATAAACAGCCAAAAAAAAACCGCAAGACTTCGTTTTACTCTTCCGTCAACGATACCCAAGGTCTTCCTCCTTTTTCTCTGCTTTCTGATACGTGATGTACGATAATTATGTACAGACAACAGAAAAAAGAGAGCAAAAACTAGATAAAATAATCCAAGTTCTGATTTTCTGCTGTCTTTTATCAAACAATAATATCACTATCGTCGATTCGCGTCTCCTCTTCTTCTTATTCCTATTTATAAAAATCTTTAAACAACTTGTAGAGATACGCCTTATCTCTACATATCTATCGTCAATCAAAACAATAGGACATCTATTCTATTGTCACTCAAAGGTATTCTCATTAATTCGCACTGTTAATACCCCGTATACTTAATAGATTGACGTGAAGATTTATTCAATTATCAATACATATATTTATATATATACATACACGTATTCTTGCAATTTTCTTTCACATATATCAAGTCCTTGGTAAAGTCGCATACATTAACAGGACAGAAAATATTACTGTGCGAAGAAAATAAACGAGCAAGAATAGAAAAGAAGAAAGAAAGCGTATAAAAAACTAATAGAAGAGATAAATCTTTTCTATTGTGTACCAATCGACCGTCAACCAAGGTTGGATATTATACAAAACAGACTTGATGATATGATCATTGTTAGTATTTTTCAACACTAGCACAGCAAAACAGTAGTCAACATCTTATTTTTGTTTTACCGAGGGAGAGACATCTGTATATATTATTAGATATTATACAATATATAATGGAACTTTCCCTAATTTATTCCGCATTTATTCTACTTATACTACTGACTACAGCTGATCCTACTGAAGTAAGTCAATTATTAAAGGCAAACATCGGTTTCTTTAATATTATAATCATTATTATAGTTTGATAATCAATGTCCAACATCTCGTCGTTTGTTATTATTTGGTGGATCAAATTTACCAACTGGAGAGAAGAAAACTCATCGTATTTCTTCATCTTCAAAAACATCATTACCATCATCTCCACCAAAATATGCACGATCCGGTGATTCTCGTGGTTTAATTGTCTTTATTCGACCACAATCACCACTTGAACGTGGTCACAAAGGTCGTTCATATAGTCATTTACTTAAAACAAAATTATATCCAGATAAAGTCAAAATAAAAATAAAACGTTCTGACAAACCAAAGATAAAACAACAACAATTGCAAAAGAAAGATTCTACTCAACAGAAATCATCAATTGCTACTAAAACACAAGATTTAGTAGCTATTCATGATCAAGAACTTAGCCGATGTAGAGCATTACTTCATATTGATTCAACAGAACAAATTCAAGATAAGAAAGTAAAGAAAGTTAAGAGAGATAAACCAACTAAACAAGCAATATCAACCAAGCTTAAAAACATTACCAGTCAAGCAGTTAAAAATGTCAAGAAGAAAATTGTCACTCCAAAAGCAACAATATCTATTAATAATAAAAAAGTCAAAGCTCCAAAAACAACAAAAGAAACTAATTCCGATAAGAAGAAAGTAATTAATAATATATCAAATAATAAAATAAATCATGATGAGCCATCCAATTTACCTGTTAATGACATACCAATTAAAACTTCTTCGCAATCATCAACAAATACAAAATTAAAACGAGATAAACAACAAACCATTCCTATAGTTGAAGTAATATCTGAAACATTTGATACAAATGAAGATGAAATTCAAAAAAAAAATAATTCAGTTGTTAACCGTGCTTTCAATTTTGTTAAAAATATGTTTCAGTTATCGGACGATTTGCTCGAAAACAATCATCTACCAGAAAATCGTATAATTGACATAACAAACGGACCCCAACAACAACAACAACAACAACAACAACACCATCATCATTCACGTAAATTACTTACCATCGATGAATATGATAATGATAATGAAACACCAATAATACTTTGTAATAATACAGACTTTAACCTTAATCTCAATGATGAAAATTTGATCGAAAAAGAAGGTGATGATGATGATAATTTATCATTTCTTGTCGCAAGTATATCAAAACGTCAGTTACTGTCAGTCAAAACAGGTAAAAATACAGCAGCATCAAAAACAAGTAATACGAAAGAAAAAAAATCGAAATCAGCAACAGATATTGATGTCAATAAACGTAAAGTTGGTTGGAATTATCGTTATCGAATTTCACGATATCTTGATAGTGAAAAATCAAAAAATACTGGTAATAAAAATAGAGCCAATGGAGCACGTAAAACAAAAAGTATAAAACAAGATGATCAACAAGTAAATTTAAAATCAAATAATAAAAAAGCCAACTCGTTAAATGAAGCCAAAATTTCAAAAAGAAAACTTCTTTCATGTGGCATTGATAATGATGAACACTGCGAAACAGATGACATGTAAGTTCAATTTAAGATATTCTCTAACGGAAATGCTTGACTAATACTGCTATTACTAACTGTCGATCTTTTATTTATAGTAGTGATTAAAATCTTGACACTCTTTTATCTCTGTTTCAATCAACCGGATAATTTGAGATGAGTTAAAATTCAATTAACTAAACATATGAATATAGGTTTTCGATATGTCACCTTTATATAGAAAGGAAACTAAAAACTTTTGTTTATATATAAAAATGAGTTAACAGCTATTGCTGAGACTAATGACTATTTTCTTCTGTTCTGTCTGTCTCAGATTACGTTGTCAATCAATCAAAATAAATACAAATTCATGGGACAATATTCTATATTAGACATTCCACAAAAAATCGAGACTATTAGTATTTTGTTCTGCATATTAAGTTGCAGATTATTCTGTTCGTTAGCTGTCAGTTTTGATTTGAATGAAAAGAAAATTTAGTAAAATTTAATATTTCTTTTTATTTTCTTAATGAAAAACATTTTCAGTCTTTCAGATAAATAATCAAAAAAAGAAAACAAAATTAATTAACCCGTCTGTAAATATTAACCTTCCCTTTATACATATAGATCTAATCCGGATATTGTCAATACCGTAACAATTATTGAGAACTTCGTACCTAAACGTAGTTTATTATCATCGAAAACAAAACATAAAGTCGAAGAAGATCATTCAGATGATGATGAAAATGATCATCATCATCATCATCATCATCATCATCATCATCATCATAAAGCAAATACACGTCGTGAAAAGAAATCGTTTGATGAATTAACTGATCCTGTTGCTATCGTAGATTCATATGAACGTGGTTTATTTAAACCTCGTGTCGGTTATCAATTTCGTTATCGTGTTTCTAATTATATTAATTCATTACGTGAAAATATTCGTGAAGATCAAGAACGTTTAAAATTAGGTTTACAAGCTATTAAACGTAAAACACCACAAGAATTAAATGGTAGAAGTAAACGTGTTTTAGATAAACCAAGCGTATCTGATTCCGAAGAATTAAAAAAACAAGAAGAAACATTAGCTAAACAACAAGTAGTTAGTAGTTTTGAATTACTTAAAAGAATAATTTTATTCATGTTTCTTTTTTCAAGGACAATACACCGAAGGCTGGTTGGGCTTATCGATATCGTATAAGTAGAATGAATGAAGCTAAGCTTCGTGGAGAATATATTGATCCTGTAGAGAAAAAACATAAAGTATTACCACATGATGAAAAAACGAAACATACAGATCATAAAAAATCTCGACATCATGATACTAAGGGTACCGAAAGAGAAAATGGTCTTGATCCTGAATTAAGTCAAATAAGCGAGGAAGGTCGACGTGTTGGCTGGGCATTTCGATATCGTGTTCGTCAAAAACTTGACTTTTTAAAAAAACAATATGCAGGTAAATAACGACCATATTATTTAATATGACATGACATCTTTTATTTTGTAATTATTAGAAACTGGAGTACCATTTAATATAACCACATTAGGTGGTAAACGTCTGAAAAAATCCGATGATTCCAAGACGAAATCAACAGAAAAGAAGACAGTTGAAGTTGTTGAGGAAAAAACTGATGATAACAAAGAATCAGCTGGTTGGGAATATCGTTATCGTCTTTCAAACATGCATGAAGCACAAAAAAGTGATAAGAAAAAACCATCCAAAAGTGAAAAACCAGAAAAAGTATCAGTTGATGAACAACTTGATCCTGTATTAGCAAAACTCACGCCAGAACAACGATCAGTTGGATGGCAATATCGGTTTGTTGAATAATAATTCTTCTATTCCAAAAAGAAATCTTTTATTTTAGTTATCGTATTAGACGTAAACTTGATGAAGTAAAAGCAACTGGTAGTGATCAAAATCAAAATGGTAAACGTAAGAAAAAATCAGCACCAAAACGAAAAGGTAATAAAAAACTAACCAAAAAAAAAACTGACAATATTGACAAAACACCATTTATGGATTATTTTCGTCGTGGTTCGTCCTATATCTTATCTGATCTCGTGCCAACAACAAAAAAATCGATTTGTCTTCTACCATTACCTATCTCTTTTTCTTTTTGTACAGAAGAAGCTAAAAATCAAATATCATCATCATCATCAAGTAAAAAGAAACTAAAAAAACCTTCAAAGAAAAAACTGAACACAAAAAAAGAACATCGTGCGAAACAATTTATTCATTATCGAGTAAAGAAATTAGGCGCAGATGATAAAGCTACGGAACGACGTGTCGATGAAGCAATGAAAAGATTATATAAAAGACCATCGTTACCACCTGTACAAACGCCACCACTACCTCCAAATTATGAGAAAAGTGAGTATAAACGATCTAATAATGATGAATTAGGTCAACATTCGCTTAAGAAAAAAATTGGAGTTGATTCCAAACGAACTAAAAATAAAAAACAAAATCAAATTATTGGTACAGAAGTTAAAGGTAAAAATAAACATATATCTATTCCAACTAATACGACAGTATCTACTCTTCCAATCGAAGATATTCCTACGACAACTTCTTCTCCACGTCTTCGATCTATTTCTGAAGTTATTAAAGAAGAAGCAGCTACTATATTAAACACGCAACGTTCGTCGTCGGCAACACCTGAAGAAATCAATGCAGAAATAGAAGAAGCCAAAGAAGTTACTCGAGAACATTCAAAACTCAAAGAACCAACACATACCAATGATGCTACATCTAGAGGAGAAGAAGATAATGACGTAATATCGAATAAAAATGTTAAAAAATAATAGTTTTTTAGAAAATTCATTTTTGCTTTCATTTTTTTAAATAAAATAATACTAATTATCATATTTTTGTATTTACATAAATCCAATTATATACATTAATCATACATATCTACAATTAGTTTAAATCCTAACTCGATCAATAATAAATAATGTCATTATAATTAGTCTTTTCTTTGATTAATTTATAAATGAAAACTTTAATCTTGTCTATAATTATAATATAATTGACGTCAGACATACCTATATATACAATACAAAAACAAACCTGACAAAATTAAGATGATTTTATTCATAATTAGATAATAAATAAGAAAAATATTTTCTTTGTTTTTGATATAAAATCAATTATTTCTATTAGAAAGTAAATGTCAATAGTATGATTGTATGAATACAGTTTTTCAAGGTTGGTTTCTTTTTTAATGCAAAACAACAGTAGACAGCCACCAGCTGTATAATTAGATTGGGTTAGTTAATGGAATTTTATTACAAATATTGTTGATCTAACAGACTAATGTTTATACTAGCCAGCTTCTCTTTCTCGTCATCAAAACATATGTGTGTTGTACTCAAATCAATTATATATATCCACTTCTTCGTAAATCCCATAATACATAAACAATATTTCCAATTCATTGTATTTATTCTGTTATAACACATTTCCTTTCTTTTTATGATACAATATATATTTCAATACTAATATATTCCATGTGTGTCATAGAGAGCAGATTAACAGAAACTTAACATGAATTTTATTCATATAACATCCAAAAAAAAATGACATTTCGTTAATCACGTTCATAAATCGTGAGAAAATCTGGCAAAAGTCCTGATCGAGGATTTGCATCAAATGGAATAATAATTACAGGTTTAAATGGTGGACCAGATACTTTATGTGCTGAACTTTCACCACCAGATAAACTACGAAAATAGAATAATTAGATTTTGTATTCGAAAAATAAATCATTATTTACCTATAGAGTAAATGTAGAACAGATGAACCAACACCACGATTAACAATTATTAATCGATCGATAAAATCACATTCACGTAGGACATTGACAATCGATTTATCTAATTAAAAATATTTCAAGAAAAAACTAAAGTGATTATTTATTATTACTTTGTCGTAAATCTTGTCGTTCAATATCACTTCTTGGTGGTCCAAAAATACATGTTAATGAAGAATTTTTCTTTTTATTCATTTCAATTTTTGTTAGTATTGTTTTAAAATCTTCTCGTGTTGTGCAAACATTAAATTGGACATCTTGTGTATGAGCTAGAAAAATAAATCACAAAATAAAATAAATGAATTTAGAAATATCTTACGATATTTTTCTTGGGTTTTCTTCGCTGTATCGATTGCAAATCGACTTGGGTCAAGACCGTAACATTGATCAACATGTTGTGCAGCAATTAATGGTAAAACACCTATAAACAATATATTATGTTCATTCATAATTATATAAAAGCAAATCAAACCAAGATCAGAAAAATATTGAAGAAATATTGTTGATGTTGGTTCAAGATTACATAATTTTAATATTTCAGCATACATTGCTTCATAAGCATTTAGATTCGTAATTCCATGTGATTGTAAATTTGGTTCAAATTTCATACCGAAAATATCATAAGTAAATGGTTTATTTTTCTCACCAATAATTTGTTCATAAGATGTTTCATTGACAATTATTGGCCAACGTTTCGATCTGAATTGATAAGAATAAGTATAAACGAAATGATAATATTTTACTAACCGTTTTTCAAAATATAAATGATCAATATGACATTCTCGTCCTGGACCAGATTCAAAATATTCACGTAAACGTTCTTTAGCTGCTTCACGCTCCTTTATAAAAAGCAAAATCATATAAAAAATAAAACATATTTAAATAATCAATCTAACCGGATTAGTAACTTTTCGATCATAATAACCAATAGCAACATTTTTTTCATCTTTTTTATTTGTATAGATACGTATAGGTCTCCAAAGATGTAAGACATTCTCTATATTTGATATATCTTTTACTTCTTTTTGTAGAAATTCATTATAATGCTAGAATTATAAAATTGAATGTTTCTTTTTTTTGAAAAAATGAATAATAATTTACTTTAACGATCAATCGATCACGTTTTTTGTATATATCAACATCATCAATAGGTAAAACAAGCATTGCTTGACGATCCTCATTTGACACTTAGAGAGAATGTTCATTATAATAAAAATATTATAGTTATATTCTTACTTGTAAAATCAGTTGCAATTGCTCGATTCGGAATTCCAAGTGCTAAATTACCTGAACGTGTTTTACCGAGATCAGCAATACATGTTGTTAGATATTCAGTTATTGCTGACTAGAAAAGATATTTCATTGAATTTAAATTTAAATTCTAATTTATTTTACAGTTCGTTGAATATCTCGAATTGGACATAAATTAGAATCGTTTGTTCGAATTAATTTACGTATTGATGGATGAAGTGCTCGATCATAATAGAGTGTTTTTGCAACTGATTGAAAACGACTTTCAAGTTGACGTTGTTTAAGCTATAAGAATATTTAATAATAAAATATAAATTACATCACTTACTTTTAATTCTTCTTCATACGATATATTTCGATATGGCATATACAATTCAACAGCTCTGAAATAAGACAACTACATATGAGATAACAAAATGAGCATAGTGATATTTCATAATGTGATATACCTTTTTTTCGGATCACGTAAAACATCAGTCGTAAGAAATGTTGGTAAATTATCTGGTTGAGCTTCTACAGCTACATAAGGTTGTGCTGATGAATAAAAACATTTTCTTAAGAAGAAAATTGATTTATATTCATTTATTGATTAATAATATTTTTACCTATGTTTTATATAGCAAGGTGAGATTATTCTCTTTGTTATAGAAGTAAGATACATGTATCTGGAAGATAAGAAATTTATTTTTCATCGGGAATATTTATGTATTTTGATTTAATTAAAAAAAAAGAAAAAGAACATGTCGTAAATAACATCATTAGAAGAAAAAAAAACTTGATAAAAACATTATGTAAAGGTTAAATACATTAATCATATTGCATTTTAGTGCTCGATTCCTATGATATCCGTCTGAGACTTAGGAAATCATGATCATAATCGAAGAGCAATTGATTGTATATATCCTTACATAATATTCATTATCAATGGATTATTGGGACGGATGACGATGAACAAGTTCAGGTCGATTAACATCGGATCGAGTGCGCACTTCTAGGAAAAAAAGAAGAAGAAAAAGAATATTAATAAGACTGCAAATAAACTAACGTGGTGTCGACGATTTCTCTTCATAACGATGAGATTTAGTCTTCACTGAACAATTGCCACCCCCCGACATTAATCATGTTTTTTGTTCATTCGCTGCAATCGATCCTCCATTTATTTGTGGGCTAGACCGAAATGCATTTGCAATACGACGGCCTACCCAAGCAGCAGCATTAATGATTAATCAGACCATAATGATTCACTAGCTTATTTGAAATCAATAGGTACTTCAATATTTTTTTATCTATAAAAGAAAACTAAACATAATTCGTGTTTGAAGCATAAAAAAGGACATTGATAGATAATGATTATGTATTATAATGTTCAATCGACCGTGTCTATGTATGACCTTCTAGCGCTTGCTCTTTCGTTTACTATAATTTACATTAACAAACTTGAGCATATCATTCATATTCGATTTCTTCATCGATTCTCATCATGCGAAATTCGAGATTTTCTCATCAATCGTCATCAGCTTCATCCGCAGAATCAGCTCGTCAAAGTCCAAACAATAGACATAAGTCATTATTTAATCATCTTTTATCATATCAAATTTCAATGAATATATTTATATTTAGGTCGCCTGTACCAGCTAACTTTGAATATCTAGGTCGATTAGTTACACGGGAACGACCATTGATACAAAAATCAAAATCAGCACTACAACATCATGTTGTTTCTCATAATAAACCACAATATCATCAACCAAGAGCATCACATCATAGAGAAATTTACGAAGATGTAACTGACACACTCAGTGATGATGATGATGATCACGATGGTGGTGGTGGTATGGATAATTATGATGGTTTAGGTAAACCAGTAGGTGTTATACGAATCAATGATCGTCATTTACGAGAGAGTATAAAAAATAAAATTTATTCTATAATAAAATAATTTCGAACTTTGTTATAAGTCTATCGTTTACCGACACCACCGCCCAAAGTTAAACGTGTATATCATCGTCTTCGATCACCTGAAACTAAAGTAATTGAACGAGTATTTGTTCGTCGTCCACCACCACAAATTATCGAAAATGTAATCGAAGTACCACCAGAAAAAGTTCGTATTATTAATCGAGAAAAACTTTTAGCAAAACCAACACCAATCACAAGATCAAAGTAAAAAAAGATACGAAATTATTTACTTCTACTAATTTTTTTTGTTTTTAGATTAATACATTTAAAAAATCGTCACCATCGGCAAGAAATACCAGAACAAGAAGAAGAAGAAGAAGAAGAACCACAGCAGCAGCAACAACAAATCTCGGTTCCTGGTGGACAGTGTCCTCAACAAGAAACATTTATTCCTTCACAACACTACTCTCAACAACAACCAGCAGCAGCTACAACAACATCACTTGTTTATCCTCCACAACCAACTATGAATACTGTTGGTTATATTCAATCATCAGTTCCTCCACATCTTATGTTTAATTCACAACAACCTCTTCAAATCTCACCTCAGCAAATGTCTACTCAACCAACTGCTCAACCAGTAACTTACACTTATGTACCACAGCCAGCTGCCACTCCGCAAATGTCTAACCAACAACCAACAACAACTTATACTTATGCACCACAGCCAACTCCCACTCCGCAAATGGCTAACCAACAACCAGCAGTAACTTATACTTATGTACAACCAGGAGTTCACAATCATCAGATGATGACACCAACATCTTATAATTATTTACCACAACAAATGAATCAAATGAGACCTTTTGGATGTACTCGATATTAATTAATGGACTGAAAAAACAAATAGACAGAATTATACGAACATTTCTTTAATAAAAATTTTTAATCATTCTCAAAAACACATTGCACAATCTAATATATAAGATGACAAGGAATGTGATACGTAAAAAAGAAGAACTAAGATAAAAAAATGATTTGTTCTATTCAGCTTTTCCATTCTTATTTCGGCCACCACTTAATGTAACCATAATAACCATTGACCAAAGGACAATGCCAACTATAACAGCAATAACTAATGCTGGATAATTTATACAAAAGTTAATTATATCAGTTATATTCATGATATTTTAAATTTTAGTTCATCTGAAATTCAGTGTATATAAAAGACAAGAAAATAATGTTAAAGGATGGATGAAAGAAAAACAAACTGTGTTCTATTCAGAAAAAAAAAAGAAAAAACTGGTCAAAGGGATTACATGAGCATGTCATTCTACAACTATGATTGATTGACCGCTCGTATGGATGTATTTTATTGAGATGAATAAAACTAAATGAAAAAAAGATAGACTACAATAAAATTTCTTTCTTTCAATACTAACTCTAATCATCGGAGGCAGTTCCTTCATCGACAGCTTTTTGTCCATGTTTGTCGATCTGTGCTGCTCGTTTCATTTCATCGAATTTACGTCCATAGATTGGAATTTTTGTGTTTGTTAATTTCCAATCACTGACATAAAGAAAAAAGACTAAAGCAGATGCACCGAAGATTGTTAATGATGGTGCACTAAAATAAAAATGTTAGAAAAGAAAAGATAGATGTTTCAAATGTCATACACATTCTTCATGATTTGTAAATGTCGCGGGCCAGTAAATCTACCAACACCTATAGGAATTAACATATATAGATAGATAATAATGTAAGATAGAAGATAATTTACCAGGCAATTTATTCATATAATAATCCATGAGTTTATATGTGCTAGTTCACAATTAATCTAGAACAAAAAAAATGAAGTGTAATATGATATTTAATAAGAAATGCGTTATACAATCATTCAAAACGACATGATCTATGATAGAATCTATCGGTGAAGATGATTATTATAAGTTACTTTTGCACGTTAACTGATAGTATGAGTATGAGAATTAATCTTTTTACATACACTTCGTTTGAGGTTACAGCGTGCATAATTATTTTAAATATCAATTACTAATAAAAAAACAATACAAATTCGACATATATAGATGAACAAACTGAATTTTTTTATAGGAATAAATAAATAAATATTTTTACATATATCTATTACTACCATTGTTTGTATACTGAAAACCTCTAACCAATTTCTGTCAATTTTATTATGTAGTTGTCACTACTAATCAATACATCTATGACATATCCTATAGATCTACCTTTACAATAATACGATAAAATATATTATTCTTTTACAATTAAAGGTAAGCAGATAGACAATTCTGAATAATTATAATGAATATTGTACGTCTCTTTCTTTTAATTTGAACTTGTAGCTCATTTTCCTACGGTTCTTCGGCTTAGATATATGTACGGAATTATCAGAGACGAGAAATCATTTAATAAGGACAAAACTAGCAGAAGTCTAGTCTCCGTACCAACCAAGTTGATCTTTTAATCCAATTCAGACTTACAACTAGCGTCATCTCGTCTTGTCAAATGTGAATGAATTTATAATCAACCAACCAATAAGGACTGTTAAAACTATAATGTATAAATTCCCTGTTTAATTTCACTCTTGTTTGCTAATCATAAAAGAACCTAATACATAATATTCACAATTCAAAATGTTCTTTCATGTATGTAAAGAAAACAAGTATTAATTTAATATACCACGAATTTTCTTTATTTTAGGTTAGTTTAGATCATGAAATTTTACTTCATCCACGTTATTTTGGTCCACAACTTCTTAAAACAGTTCGACGTATGTTATTCAATGAAGTTGAAGGAAAATGTATTGGCAAGTAAGTTTCTATCATAAATGATATTTTTAAGAAAAAAACAAACTTCATTTCAATAGGTATGGTTATGTGATTGCCGTTACTTCATTAGATAATATTGGTGTTGGTAAAATTCAACCTGGTAATAAAAATGTTATTAAAATAAAATTTATATATATTTGTTATTATCAGGACGTGGTTATGTTATTTTTCCTGTTAAATATCATGCTATTGTATTTCGACCATTTAAACATGAAGTTGTCGAAGCTATTATCACTCAAGTGACCAAAGTAAAAATTCGACTAGATATAATAAGCATGATTCTATATCACTGTTTTCATTTTTAGATGGGCATTTTTTGTAAAATCGGTCCATTAACTTGTTTTATTTCACGTCATGTAAATATAATATTTTAGTTGTCATTATTATTTATATAAATATGTTAACTTTAGAGTATTCCTCGAGATATGGAATATGATCCCAGTGCAAATCCACCATGTTATAAAAAGAAAGATGATGTAAGAAATAGTATTATGTATCCGTAGATTTTTAAAACATATATTTTATTTTGTTTAGGATCTTATGATTCAACCGGATGATAGTATTCGTGTGAAAATTGCTGGTCTTCAAGTTGATGCTAAAGAATTCGTATGTATTAAATAAAAAAGATCGAGAATATTATTCAATATAGTAACAGATATTTGAGAATGTTTTGCATAGAATTGATTGAAATTAGTCGATACTAAAATATCAAATGTGAACATATACCTAGACTAGTTATTTGAATGATTTTATCCGAGATCAGTTTAGCTTTTTCAAATTCAATATTTACAAGCATTTCTTTTTTTTTTGAAAACATAATTCAACAGATCTGTGTAAATCTAAGTCATAGACGTTATTCGGACAATTAATCGCTCTGAAAATACGACTATGAAATGATTGATAATACTACAGTTGGAGAAAACTAATCTGAGTATAAACAGTTTTTGCTGAATATTTTCATTCACTTTTAAATTCGAATAGACAAGCAGAAACAATCTTATTTTACATAGTTCAGATTATATACATCAACCGATTAGTTTAGGCTTTCTTCTGAAATCTGTAAATAAATAAAAATATTTTACGAAGCATAGATTATATTCTCTTTGAACATTTTCTGTTAACCTTTATTTCCTAATGCAATTAAGTTTAAATATAACATCTATCATCTTTTTTTACATGTTCCTATTAATGACTAGATTAAAAGTACGACAATGACTAAAATAACTTTTTTTTTGCTTTCTAGTTTGCCGTTGGCACATTGATGGACGATTATTTAGGTAAGTAAATTATTTTCTTCATCTATTAATTTACTTTTCTTGGGTTTTTTTTTAGTATCATAACCTACTTGTCATCATGCAATGTGTATAAAATCTTCTTCGTTTTCTTCTTTTTCTTTTTTTTTTGTTGTTGTTATATTCTCCAATCATGAAAGAAAGAATAAAAAATGAGCTTTTCTTTCCTATCAATTTGATCATACTTATCTCGAAATATGATCTATCTACATTGCTATCTAACTTGACAGAAAAGAAAAGAGTCTTATTTGTTTGTTTACTCTTATATTACTCTGACTTTTTTTCTTGCCATATATGTTATATATGCACAGCAGTGCTAATCGACTCGACTCGACTAATGATTAGTGTCTGCTATTATGTTTGATACATGTTTCTTTTCTTTTTACTTCTGTTCTGGCAACCATCACTTGGCACGAGTTGGCTCAACATTTCATCGTCTGTTCGCATTAGATCATATCTTCATCATCATATATTCTGCTAATCAACATCCTCTGATACAAGAAAAAATGCTTCCGGACCGCATTTTTTAAAAGTATATATTTATACGCGAGAGAGAGAGAGAGAGATGTATATCAAATATATGCAAAAAAACGGAAAGAAAACATAACAAAAAGGCAATATTATTCTTGAGATGTTTACAAATACGATTGTCCAATAGAAATCTAATGCAATTGATCTTGACATTTTATATAATGAAAAAAAGAAGAAGAAAAGATAGATTGTTTTTATCTAATGATCATATAAATAACCATCAAACTTGAAAGATTGTCTTGTATTAAATCTGTATATATACATATGTAGTTATTTTATTCGAAAAAAAACCTTGTACATGCCATATCACTAGAAAATTTGTTACTTATGTAATTCAATAAACAATAAAAAAGAAGAAGAAGAATCTTTTGCCTTGCTTTCAACATACTGACACCGTAAACAGATTTATCTGTTGGGCGTAGATTATTTGACAAATTATTTGTTGGCTAATCAATAGATATACTTGTCGACTTGTACATCATTTTATGTTTATTTTCTCTTGTATTCGTGTACTTTACCATCATCATCATCAACGTCGTGTGTGTGTTAACAAGCTCATATACAAGGAATTAGTTGTTACTTTGTGTACACTACTCATTCTCCCGCTGTTGCTCCATATACTTCATCATTATCATTTGCAAAAAGAACATACACGCCCATTTCCTTATTGTATGTTTATTGATTAACAGAAAAGATTAGCAGATAGTTTTCTTCTCTTGTTTGTTCGAGAATGTTGATGTTATAATTTATAAAATCTAATATATATATATATATATATACATATACATACATATATGTGCGGTCTATTTCGTTTCTCCCCTTTTTTATATAGAGCTTCATGCATTTTAAACACGTGTCAAAGTCAGTAATACTGATTTAATTGAAAATATGTCTGTGTTTTCTTTTTAATTTACTTCTATTCGCAGCATTTCGAAATGTTGTCGTTGCATGAAAGCCACTCGATCATACATATATATATATATATACATACACTTTTCTTTTTATTGTTGATAAGACATACACAAGAATAAAAATAACACAAGCATACATCTCTAACCACTTGATAGATTATTTGGTTTTGCTCTTTCTCTACACATCGTTTGCATTTGAATTGGATTTCAATTTTGCTCTTTCTCTCTTACTGTTCTCGTTTATTTGTCTTCATCGAACATATATACAAAACTTGATGATGATTATCGTTTCTATTTGTTCATGAAAACCAATCATCAAAAGATTACATCTTATGCAATTGTCCAATACTAACAAGAAAAACGAATTAATCAAATATACATATGTTGACAATTGATATTCATTCAGTTACACTTGGAATAAGAAGTTTTCTTTTTCTTTTTCTTTGCTTTCAAAGAAAAAAAACAGAAGGAAATTTTCAAGTGTTAGCAAAAGTCAAATTGCTTGTATGATTATGTCCTTGAGTATAGAGCGGATCTAACGTTTTCTATATACTCAGCAGGAGATTGACTCGTTGTCACATACAATCGACATGTTATTCATTAGTTATTGTTATGTTGCCGACTACGGCAGCCGTGGGACATGATGATTACGTTCAACATGTTTGATCTCATTTATTGCTTATAGCAATCTATCTACCTGAGAGTTTTTCTTCTCATTTTACAATTAAAATAGAAAATAACCAAATCTTGATATGTGTATTCTTCTAAATCCAAACGAACTGTTTCAATAAAACAAAACAGCATGTATCTCTTATTTAAACAATTGTAACAAGATATGATCACGAGAGAGAAAAAACAAACGTAAATAAAATTTGTTGATCCTTAAACAGCAAAATTGATTTAAAGTAAATTTCAATCTAAATATAGATTGAAATTATATCTACTAGACTTGATATTAAAAAAAAGAAAAGAAAAGAAAAGTATTGCACAAGCTGACGACAATTAAACAACGATTTATGATAATAATGATGCACCAACGCATAATAGTATATGTTGGTAGTTTCTTTTTTTTTTATTGTATTCATAGGAAAACATAAATGACGACAAATTGAGAAAGACTAATGTCAAATGTATGTTTATATGATGTATGCGACAGCTGGAATTGATGATGAAAAAGAGAAGTTTATATGTCCTTCTCGTTTTTTTTCCATTATTCTTTCGTTATAGTACAAACAATACTATCAAAAAAAAATGAGGTCTGATTTGTAGCAGCAGCTTGATAGATTTATTTTTTCAAATAAAGAAAAAAAGAGAGAGAGAAAAAAAAGAAGAATATTTTTTTTTTGACAAATTAAGAAGAAAATAAGGGTAAAAACGAAGAATTAAAAAACAAACAAACAAACAAAAAAACGAAAAAAGAAATGTCATCTTTCCCCGCCATACATATAATATGATACTGGAAACAAAACAAATAAAAAAAAAAGAGGAAATTTCATTCAACTTTTCTTTCTCTGGTAATATATATTACGACACTGACCTTGTTTTATTAGGTGAAATTGAACTAGCAGATAATAAATGTTCAGCTAAAATTGATCGATTTGTTGGTATTTGATGATGTCTTAATGCTTCAGCTGCTGCTAAAGCATAATTTGTTGGATGATGTGAATGTGAATTTAAAACATTTAAAAATTGTTGTTGTTGTTGACATGTTGAATTTGATGCTGCCTGTGATGATGATGCTGACCACATAGCAGCAGCGGCTGCTGATGCATAAACAGCAGCTGAATATGGCCATGAATTTGTATGTGGATGTTGTGAAAGAAATGGTGTTGGAACAAATGGATTTGAATGTGTTAGACCTGAACGTTTAAATGCAGCTAAACGATGATTTCTTGATGTTGATGTTCGACGTCGAAGTTTACCAGTTGTGGCACCAATAAAAACATCATCAGCTGATGGATCAAGCATCCAATAATTTCCTTTACCTTCAATAAAGAGAGAGAGAAAAAAGACAAAATTCTTTTTTTAGACAAAATATTTTTCTATTTACCGGGATCATCATAATGTCTTGGAACTTTAACAAAACATTTATTCAAAGATAAATTATGTCTAATTGAATTTTGCCAACCTTGTTTATTTTCACGATAATATGGAAAAGATTTCATTATATATTCATATATACCATTTAATGTTAAACGTTCATGTGCAGATGAACGTATTGCCATCATTATTAAAGCATTATAGGAATAAGCTGGTTTAACACCATATTTATTTCTTGGTGCAGGCGTTGTTGTATTTGATGTTGATGATGATGATGATGATGAAACTTGTTTTTGTTCTTTTATATTATTATTATTATTATTTCGACTAATTGTACCATCGGAACCAGATGCATGGCCCGATGATGATTCACTTGATATAGATGGTGAAGATTTTTTTGGTAATGATTTAATATGAGAATTACATTCTTCAGTTTCAATATCTTCATCTTCATCATACTCTGAATTATATATAGCTGGAGATGTACTACCAATATCAATATCTTCTTCATCATGATGATTATGATCATCTTCGGATTCATTATGTAGAATCGTTGAACGTTTTTTTAATGGAATTTCATGATCATTTTCATCATCTGTTTCATCACGTGTTCTTTTTAAAGGATTTATTGTTTGCATTGATGTATAAAATGAAACTGTTTTAGATAATTTTTCAATATTTGTTTTCTATAAGAAGACAAAAATTATTTTAATAAAATTAAAAAATTAAAAAAATTTATTTCTTTACCGTATCATCTTCGCCAAGAACACTTCGAATTGAAAACGAACTATGAAAAACATTCTGTTGTTGTTGTTGTTGTTGCTCGTCACCGTTTGTCATTGCGTTACTTTTCTTTCCAATTTTTTTTTTATTCTGAAATAATCGTAATGATGTAGTAGTAGTCCTTCTTTTCTCTATAACGACGTGTCAGAAGTAACAGCCTGTTTGATCAACAAAAAACGATGCGCATCTCTTCTCTTCGAACGTTTTTTTTTCTCTTCTATTTGCATACAGAAGGAGGTGTTCGTGTTCATTATTTTTCCTTCTTTTTTTGGACCAATGTTGATGCAGCTTCCTATTAACATGGTTGGCCGGAACGAGAGAAGAAAATTAATTCTTTTTTTTTCTTGTTCGTTCGTTTTTTTTTTTCCTTTCTTTCCTTCTTCTAACAGCCAATGTTTGTAAAACAGAACTTCTCTATTTTCACCAATAGAAAGAAAAAAAAATTTGACCTTTTTTCTAAATACACTTCATTGATATTTATTCATCTTCAAAAGATGTTTACGTTTCTATTGTCATCCTAATTGGCATCAATCTTTAAAAAAAATCCTAAACGAACGACAACTGTCATTGATTTAAACCAGATTCAATATGCAATTGAGTTTCTTTTTTGTTTATAGTCGTTTGTATAACTATATTGATTGATCATTGTCGTCGTTGTAGCAAAAAAAATGACGAGTCTATATTAAGAAGAAAAGAACGATAATCTAACGAATATGATCTATGCAAATTTCTTTATAAGTGTTTATATGCCAGATATACTGCTGTTACAAACTGATAATCATCCATTCTCGCGATGATGATGATGTTGTTGTTGCTTATATGATGTAGTGCAGTTATCATGAGAATCGATCGAGTTCGCTTCCGTTACTTGCAAACAAACAAATAGACATTCATAGGGGAAAAAGAAAAAGTTCCGACACCAGAAACGGAAGACAGATATACACACACATACACACACCATCGGTGAAAGTATCAAGAAAAACGAACAATTATAGGATAAAAAAAAAAGTGCGCATATTCCGGAAATGAAATAGAGTAAGAAAAATCTATATCATTATTCCACTCGTCATCTCTAATTAGTGGATTTAAAATGAACACCTGCACTCTCGGATATTATATCTAATTTTACTACTCACTTAATAAGAAAATCATGAATGTATAAAATGAGTCAAATAAAAGGAAAAAAAAACAACGAGTCGTTGAAAAAAATAATACATATAAGTAGCTGCTGCACCCTCCATCACGGCGATGTTTACGCAGTTTGGAATGTTGTATATGCAGGGTCGAAAAAAAAAAAGTAAGAGTAAAAGACGACGTCAATCATTCTGACAGTTTATTGTTATAAGACAGCGTATAATGAAACGAAAGCTTCTATGCCTTGAAAAAGAAAACGATTCAATTCTCTTTTGTGTATACGTGCAGACTTGCACTATTACCCTGATGACAACAAGGGAGTAAAGAAAGATAGGGAATATGATAAAGAATGTTTCTTTAATTTTCTTATGTATTTTTTTTCTTGACTCATATGACTTTTGTAAAAATGTATTACGTCATTTTTTTAATAAACAAAATTGTATATATATAGAGCCTTGAAAATAATAGTGAAAAGAAAAACTAACAAATTCATCATTGTCATCAGATTGTTATTATTATTATTAAATCGTGCTGCGTAAATCGTCAAGGATAAGATATATATATATACATTGTTAAGTATGTCAACGAAACGACATGCTACATTAATTTTCGATAGAAATCTATTGCCAGTCGTTCTTCTATGTTGTGATTAGCTTAAGAGTGTCGACAAGCACACATCGACTGAGGAGATAATGATGAGCATTTTTTCTACTTCTTTTGCTTGAATGATTAAAAAGGCAACATACATTGATTGTGTAGCAGCCATAGAAAAAAAAAAAGAAAATTTGTTCATTCGACCATTGATTCTGTCTGTTTCTCTCTTTCTATACAATAATTTGCTCAATTTTGCTTTTACAATGGACAATAGTATACGTGTGCGCGTGTCCATTTTTGTCGACACGTTCACACATCACAAAAAGCGATTAGTGAAACAACTAGTATACCTTTTGATCTAACCTCTATTTGACATGATCATAATGGATGGTGTATGTTGGATACTTGAACAATAAAAAAGAAAAACAACACAAGAGATATTCATTTTCGCTTCATCAAATTTCAATAGTTAACTGACATTTTCATCTGACAAATTGTTCAAATACATGAGATTAAGAGTAAGTATACAAGAATATAATAATCATAATTGAATAGATGTTGAAATTAGAACTAATCAATATATATGATGACAAGCTTAAATCATCTTTATACCGCTCTCTCTTTGTTCTTAGTATAAAATCTAACAACAATCAAATATAATTATTTGCTTCTAAAATAAAACAATCTTATTGCGCAGATGTTATTCTTTTTTTGCTATAGAAAATGATGTTTCAATAAAAACTTTTTATAGATGATTGTCGGCGACAGATTTTATTAATGATGAATGTTAAATAAGAAGAGAATAAAAAAAAATGATTAAGTTTTATTACTTTATCAATATTCAATATTTTTTATTTTAATAACAATTAAAATATTATTTTTATATCGTGTTGATTTAAATAAAATGTCAGTTTATCGTTAGATTTTATCAGTTTTAAAAGTAAATAAATGAAAATTTTTTCATGTTTTTCTTTTGCTACTTAAAGCAATTATATTATAAAAACAGAAATTGCTTGATAAGAATACTTGTATTTAAAATAATATACATTCGAATATGTTTTACTCATGTAAAACAACATGAACACATAGATTATAAGTATAATATCATTGTTAGAAGTGAACTAATCAAGATTATTGTAAATGAATATAAAATATAAATTGTTTAATCTAAAACTACTTATGTTTTATCACCATTGTTCTAATCCAGTGGAGGATTTAGAGAAAGTGCGTCCGCACTCAGTCTCATTTATTTTTTGCAGCAAAAATTACTTCGGAACCAGTAGATGATATGGCGAATGCGGGTGGCAATACAGTTTTTGATCGAAACCAACTTCTGTTATAAACATCCTTGATTCATCACTGAATTATATTTTTATTTACCAAATAAACATTTTTATTAAAAACGCTGAATCGGGAACCGCGATTGTGACCCATTCACGCTTAATAATAAAACGCTATAAACGGCGTTTTGAACGTGAAATCACCACTTTCTTAGCGTTAAAACAGTGAAAAATTCTTTTTTTTAACGTTAAAACGCATGGCCTTTAAACTCTAGAATACACACGCGTTTTAACGCTATGATGGTGGTGGTTTTACGTCTAAAATTATTAAGCGTCAATGGATCACGATCGCGGTTCTCGATTGAGCGTTTTTCAAATTTTCTGTCTGCTTGGGATACGAAAAAGATAGTATTTGTTAAGATTCAACGATATTAAATATTGTCCGAGAAAAAAATATGTAATGTACATATCTGTTAAATATATATATATGAAGCTTTCTATAAAACATATTTATGATTTAACTATATTTTATTTCCGTTATGTACATTTTCTCTCTCGGTTTAAGATTTGTTGATATGATTTACTGAAATTGCTTAGAAACAGTTTGGAGTTTTATATTTATTTGTGTATTGTAGCGTCATCTTTTTTTCATACCTATTATGACAGGTTTACTAAATATACCCATGATTGCAGAAGTAATTGAAATGAAACGAATGAGTAGTCGCATAAAAGTACAACGATTACGAAAACAAATACAAAATAGAAAATAATCCAATAAACGTTTTGATGTATGTAGTATAATCACAGTTTATTAACATTTATATTTTTAGAGTACCTTTTTTAAATATTTTTTTACTTAAATTTAATAATGAAGGGTCTATCATGGCAATCGCTTAAAGCGAATTATTCATTGATACCACTTTTTTCCATTGTTACAATTGGACTGGTAATGGCAGGCGGACATGCAATTCGTTCTCTAGTATATTCAAGTGATGTCAAAGTAAATAGACGTAACTCTGATCATCCATGGGACGCAAAAGTGAATAGCGATGGTTCATTCCAACATTCAAAATATTTTAAGATTCATGATTATCGTAATATAAGAAAGAGTGAATATGAACCCAATCTCGACAATTAAACCTCATAGACAGCACATCTATTTCTAGTAACTCAATTCTTCTGCTATTATCTCATTTTCTTCTAGATTGTTTTTGTGATATATTAAAATACAGCTAGTTTGCATGCATAATGTCTCTTTTTTGTCTTGTCATTAAGTTTTCCTATTTTTGTTTTAAATAAAAATCAAAAAAAAAATCATCACTCGTTTTTTTAGATGGCCACGCAAAATCAATCAGATCAACACCAAGGATCACATTCGAATTATATGAGTACTTTCGAATTTTTCTTGAGAAGTTTTTATCTTTAATATTTGTTTCTATCATTAAGGTAAAATAGCAGATTATCAAATTATAGAGGAAATTGGTAGAGGAACATATGGGTATAAGATATTCAATCATGTCTTGTGTTTATTTATTTTCAATATTTTTTCTTTAGAGTAGTTCTGAAAGCTCAATGTAAAAAAACGGATACAATTGTTGCTTTGAAACGTATACTAGAACAAAATGATGGTGAAGGTTTTCCTACATCGGCATTAGATGAAATTCGAGTTTTACAATTTATCACGCATGAAAATATTGTTCAACTAATTCGCATGTGTGAATCATCAAGTAAATTTTATATCTTTTAAAAGATTTCATTTATCAAAGTTTCAAATACTTAATTAAATAGAGTATGTTAAGAATCCATCAATATTAGAAACTTCTTCATGAGTAATGTACGGTTGAAATTTTTTTACATATGAACAATATATTAATGCATGAAAAAAATAACTTTTTATCATAGCGAGACTAAGCTAAAGCTATACTAATTAAAATATTTGTTATCATATATTCTTGCTTGTATTTATATAATCTATTAATAAATCCTAATTTCATTTTATAGGTCCAGATCTACCTGATTATCAAGTCTATCTTGTATTGGAATATTGTAATCATGATTTAGCTGGTCTAATAAAAAATCGTCAACTACATCCTACTCTTGATAATCGAAAATGTATCATGAAACAAATACTCAATGGTAAAGAACATATTATTATCTAATATATAGATATATTGTTATATATGATTAAGGTCTTTCGGCTCTTCATGGCAAAAAAATTATGCATCGGTATGTTGAAAAAAGGAAAAATATGATCTAGAATTGTGATTCATTTTAGTGATTTAAAACCAGCAAATATTTTATTAACAAATGATGGTATAGTTAAAATTGCGGATTTTGGTTTATCCGACATAATTACATCACCAGAATGTAAAAAATATTATTAATAATTGGTACGATGTTCTTCAATCATTTTTCTTTACTTTCTTTTAGTCGGCCAACAACAATCACTTTCAACTAACGTTGTTACATTATGGTTAGTGTTTATATAAGATATTTCATTTTGTAATCAGACGAATTTTAAATTTTTATAGGTATCGTGCACCAGAATTATTATTAGGTAAATAGAAATATATAGTTATTTGCTTGAAAAATTCTGGTATTGATTCGATAGGTGATCCAAATTATGATTTTGCAATTGATATGTGGAGTAAGTTGAATGATTTTTGTTCAAGTGTATTATTTTGTTTTCTATTGTATTAAGGTGTTGGATGTATTTTCGCCGAACTCTTTATACGTGATGCAATTTTACGAGGTAAATTTGATCATTTGTCTAGGTATCAATTTTATTCTTCGATTTAAATGAATACATTACATATCTAGTAGTGCAGCAATAAGCATAGAGAAGGAAAAAGCTATGATACATGCACAGATGATATCTGTGTGATTGTTTTTATCGAGAACGAGTTGCGTTTTCAAGAGTATAATGCGGACAAAATTAATACTTGAATTCTTAAGAATAATTTGATCAGAATTTTTTTTCCGATTAGGTGATAGTAAAGAGAAGCAATTCGCATTAATTAAAAAATTATTTGGTGATATTAACTGGCCCGGTATACATCAATTACCATTATATTCTCATTTAAATATATCTCGATTTAGCCAAGGACAACTTGAAAATTGTGTGATAGATTATCGAACGAAAATTTATAATGAAGCTTCACGTGATTTAATAAATGAATTGTTAACATTAGATCCTAAAAAACGTATTGATGTAAATAAAGCAATTCGTTCTAATTATTTTAAACCTGAACCATCATTAAAAGATTTTAAAGATTTTTTATCAAAGCATTCATGAGTGTTTGAATCAAATCAAACTTCACAACAAACAAATTATCGATATCCACCAAAAAACCAAACTTACTAATATTTTTTCTTATTGATTTTCTTTAAGTTAAATAAATGAATGTATCACTCCGGATGTATATTGACAAATTTCAGTAAAACTGAAAATAATTATAAACATGTTTTGTTAATTACTTTTTTTCTTTTAATTTTCTGAGAATTATTTTTTATGTAACCCTGAAGTGTGAATTCTTTTATTGTCAAGACAACATATTATTAAACTATTTCTAATTTTTAAAAAAAATGTAAATAAGTTTTCTTCTATATTTATTTATTGAGAAGACAAATGTTGGTAAAAGTAAATTATAATCAATAAAATTATGGCGATTTGATGGAAGTAAAAAAGGAACACAAAAAAAATGGAATAGATTTATTGTTTATCACAAATATATATGCTGGAAAATAGTTTATCATTTGTTTTCTTAAGTATCAAAAAATCGTAAAAAATCATATAAATTGATTTTTCCTTCACTGTTTGTTGTACATTCAGCAATCATCTAAATAAATCAAATGAAAATTAAATCTTTATAAAAAAACAAAAAGTATCTACCGCATCAATAATATCATTTTCCAGTGGTAAATTAATTTGTCGGAATAAATCTACAATATTATCTCGAGCTACATAGCCATTTCGATCTTTATCGTAACGTAAAAACATTTGTCGAATTTGTTCATGATTTGTTATACGTAAAGCTTTTAATTTATTACGTATTTCAGCATATAAACGTATGAAATCACCTGGTCGACGTTGAACATGAACATTTGTACTGAGACGAGCATCGGGTCGACCTGGTTCATTACTTAAATGTTGTCGTAATGATTCAACAACAGCAGGTGTAAATTGTTCAGGATGTTCTTCAGCATATTTCAATACGAAAAGATCAGCTGAACGAATTATAAAACGTTGACGAAATACTTCGATATTGGCACCAATATAAAAATCAGATGGACCATAATATTGAGGATATTCAGTCGACGAACCTTTTTAATAAAAGAATAAATTGGTTTTGTTATAAAAAAAGTTTTCATATAGTTTACCTGGTTTTGATACTCGTGTTGGTTCGAGAAATCGACCACCAATAATACCTGTATTGCGTTGAGGTGGTTCATGAATAGTAATTGTATCATCACCAAGACGATAACTAATAATAAATCTACGTAATTTATCATTTTCACGAGGACTGTCCTATATAAAAATAAATTATTTAAGCAACGTCAAGAATTCGTTTTTTTTTCGTACTAAAACAGCGTCATAACGAAGTACTTTATGATCATTTTCCATTAATTTAACATAATCTTTCTTTGGTCGATCAGGTTGAAGACGTAAACAATTTTGTAATGAATCTTCTAATGTACCAAATCCATTGTATGGAGGAATTTCCTACAATGAAAAGTTTTTTTCTTAAAAATTGAATAAAAGAAAGAATTAATTAAAATTTACCATATTCGGATGGAAGTTACGTTTCTCTTGAATATCAGTTTTTTCAAAATTAGTAACACCAAAATTTTTTGTATAAAATGTTTTTGTAAACATATCACAATCATATAAGAAAAAGTTTCGTCCGTAAATATTGACAGTTTTTCCAACCATTAAATCCGATGGTTTAAAATAATTACTTACTTCTGTATCAGTTAATTCAAGAAAAACATGTGGAAATGTACCTAAATTTATGATAGAAATTAGATTGATTTTCAATTAAATTTGTTTCCTTAGGATACGAACCTTTAACATCATAACGATCTTTTGGAATTTTATGACGAGTAATAAGAATAGGAAATGGATCTCGACCATCATTTGCTTTATGTACTTCTCGTATTTCCATTGTATCATTAACTAAATAGTACTGAATGATAAATTCTCGTTTTTCACCAAACATTTGTGATCGATCATCCCATACAGCATAAAAACGTAAAACTTTTCGATCCATTTCAACATATTGTTTAAGTTTATCAAAATCATTTTTTGTTGTATATTTTTTTAGTTCAGCTGCTTGATTTCGTTTTGTTAAATATGGATCACGTGGTATTAATTCAGGTTCATGTACATGAATACCTTCACTTTCAAGCCATTCCTGAAAGAAATTATATAAAAATAGAAAATAACTTTTTCCTTGTTTTTTTTCTTACTCGAGTAAACGCATCACAATCACAGACACGAAATACTTTTCCATAGACAGCTAAATTTTGTCCAAGGTTAATATCACGAAAATTATATGTTTCACCTTGATCATTCTTTGGAAAACGATGACGACGAATTAATTTTCCTTGTGGAATACCACTATTTTCTTGAACTTCTTCGATAATTTCTAAACTATCATCTTCAAGGTAATAGAATATTTTAACTGGTCGTACACGATAATATTCATTTGGACTTTCTGGTACTGTTTGTTTGAAATATCCGAAGAATCGTAAGACTTTTTTATCAAATGCTAATGTAGCTGGAACAAATTTATCAGGTACTCCAACAACATTTTTACCATAGACGAGTTCTGGTTTATAATTTCGAAGAAGTTCCAATTCGTCTTCACTTATTTGATTGTAATTAATACGTGTACCACCTAACAACAGCAATGAATAACAGTTTAAGATATGTAATTAATCGATAAAATAGATTCACTCTTACCTAATCCTACTTGGGGCCATTTAGTTACGCGATGACCATTTTTTACATCAAGCGTGTGACTGACATGAAAGTTACTTTGCTAAAATATAAATATTTATACAATAAAACCAGTATAAATAATATCTAGTTACATACTGTTGGATCTTGAAATGAAAATCCTGGTAAACAAGGAAGGCCTTCCATTTTTCTTTTTTTTTCTGTTCCTTAATACTTGCCACCTAGTTGTCAAGAGTCACTGAAAAATGATATTGTTGCTATTTTGTTTGCGTTTCTCTTCACATTTGATGCTAGCCTTTTCATCTCGGTTACCTAGTAACATCCATCGAAAGTTATTCTTATTTGATATAAATTTCAAATTAAATTAAAATAGAATAATTTCTACTTTTACGAGTGATAAAACAGAAATAAATATTCGACTATATCATACACCTTCATAGATGTCGTAAGCATGAATTACCTGTATGAAGAAAAGGTATATGGTTCATATCATCATGACTTTCTGATAAAGTTTCGCAATAACTGTAAGTCAGTAATTTCGCAATAATAATAATTGTGTAATTTCCAATTGAGATATGTAATTCTACACATATATAAAGAGGTGTGAGTCTTCTAGTATGACATTACTAACTGTTATATTAAATTTATTCAGCAACTACAACTACAATTATGCCACACGGAGGACTCAATCGAGTTGGCAAAGTTAGAGCTCAAACACCAAAAGTAGCTCCACAAGAAAAATCAAAACAATTAACTGGTCGTGCTCGCCGTCGTGAACAATATGCAAAACGATTTACCCAAACAGTTGCTTCCGATGATGGTATCCGACGTGGACCTAATTCCAACTATCTACGACCTGCTACTTCATAAATTACATAAGACTAATTTTTCTTAATATTTTATAATGTAATGTGATCATTCTTTCTACATAAATAAAATTCATATCTTAGAATTTAAGATACATCATCATAGAATATTTTGTTTTATATAGAGGAGAAATGTTATCTGTATAGTACTGTCTTTTATTTGTTTTTCTTCAGTTGTTTATGTTTTACAGTTTTTATGCATTCTCTAGTATTCCTCTTTTCAGTCCCTGCTTTTATCTTAACCCTTTGATTACGGGGTTTTTATTTTGAATAAAAAGTTTTTTTCTATCATAAAAATTGCTGAAATAAACTTTATTGTTATATTTAAGCACATTTAGAAATCGATTGAAACATAGTAGTCACCACGTGTACATACGTGATCCGTGACCAAAGGGTTAAAATTCTATATAAACCTTCTTTATACTTGGAGGTGGTTAGAATTTTAAATGTTAAAATTTGTTAAAAACGTTTTTTTATAATGTGCAACCCTGCTGTTTGTTTCTATATTAATAAACAACACGAAACGCGTCAGAATATTAAACTGTACATTTTTTTTCAATTATTATATTATATAAATATTATTTTTATTTCAATATCAACACTATCGATTGCTGAAAAGTAAAAGTTGAAAAGAGCAGACTGTATTTCTCTTTCTTCAAGATTCAGAGATCAGTTTGTTTTTTAATTAGCGTAAAATAGAATTATTTCTATTTCTACAAACATTAAAATACTCCTTCGTAGATGTTGTAAGTATGAATTACCTGTATGAAGAAAAGGTATATGGTTCATATCATCATGACTTTCTGATAAAGTTTCGCAATAACTGTAAGTCAGTAATTTCGCAATAATAATAATTGTGTAATTTCCAATTGAGATAATGTAATTTTACACATATATAAAGAGGTTTGAGTCTTCTAGTATAACATTACTAACTGTTATATTAAATTTATTCAGCAACTACAACTACAACTATGCCCCACGGAGGAATCAATCGAGCTGGCAAAGTTAGAGCTCAAACACCGAAAGTAGCTCCACAAGAAAAATCAAAACAATTAACTGGTCGTGCTCGCCGTCGTGAACAATATGCAAAACGATTTACCCAAACGGTTGCTTCAGGTGATGGTATCCGTCGTGGACCTAATTCCAACTATCTACGACCTGCTACTTCATAAATTACACAAGCCTAATTTTTCTTAATATTTTATAATGTAATGTGATAATTCTTTCTACATAAATAAAATTTATATATCTTCTAATTTAGGATATATCACTATAGAATATTTTATGTTATATATGAAGGAGAACTGTTAATTGTATAGTACTGTCTTGAGGCGTCATCAATCGGAAAAAATAGATGTCGTTGAATTTAGATTGTTTTTTTTTGTCTTTTTAATTATTATATTTCAAGAATACTATTCTTTGAGATAATGACAATTTTTTCAAAGCATATAATTATTATCAACATATAATTGTTTATTCCATAGATTATCACATGGAAAATAGGTTTTTCAAATAGTAAATAATAGTTATCTCATCTATGATCGATAGTCAATATGCTTTTTGAATTTTCTAGTTTTATACATTATAAAATATTTATATTTTATTATTAGATAGTTCGTCTATTGTTTTTTATTATATTATAAAAGCAATCATGCAAATTTTTGTTCGTGGTGCTTCGGAACTCATACCACTTGAACTTGAAAAAGAAGATACAGTTCAAGATATTCGCGTACGTTTTATTTTTGTCTATCATTAATTATTCAATTTCAAATTCTTATCTCTTTGTAGGAATATATCGCTGAAGAATGTGACGTTGATATTGAAGAACTTGTATTAAGTTTCAATGGAACACCTTTAAATGACGAACAAACTGTTGAACAATTTGGTCTCGTATCAGGTTCAACTCTTGATGCTACTGTTAAATTATTTGGTGGTAAAGTTCATGGTTCATTAGCTCGTGCTGGTAAAGTTAAAGGACAAACACCAAAAGTAAAATAAAAAGAACTACTGATTAAATAAAATAAGAAACTAACTTTAACTTTTGAATAATTTAGGTAGCTAAGCAAGAAAAACGCAAGAAGAAAACAGGTCGTGCTAAACGTCGTCTTCAATATAAACAACGATTCGTTAACAAAGTTGCTGCATTTGGTCGCCGTAAAGGACCTAATTCAAATCAACCAGCTACGAAATAAAAGTTTATCGAGACAATGATATCAACTACATTCTATCTTCTTACTTAGCTAATCATTTGATGTATATACATTATACCTATTAGCTATCTACAATCATAAGGAGATAGAAAAAATATATAATACTTTTTTTTTGTTTCTGAATAAAACATCACATTCATCAGAAACTAATATTAGTTTTTTT